CAGTGCATGACACTTCTGAAAGTACGAAATTATTCGGTTATGTCCGAAAAGTTTGAAGGTATGTTTATATCCTTTTCTTTTTTTTCCATTTTGTGGAACATAATACAAGGTATACCGCCGATGACAATGAAGTGCGAAGCGTGAAATATTATTGTGTGCAAGACCATCAGAACATCCCGTTTTCTTTCTCATTGTTTTCCTTGAAGCCGGGCCTTGAAGCCATCCACTCAGCTACTGCAATTTGAAGAAAATACAAGAAGAAACGAAGAAATACGAATATAATCGCGTTCGGCTTATATTTCATGTAATATAATATGAAACATACATAACTGTATAAGTTAAACGACAATTTTGGGTAAATTTAAACTGCAAAACGTTTTTTTTTAATCTTACAAAATAATGGCCACACGGACCTACAAAACAAACGTGTAGAAATTACACAGCACATTAAATTTAATAGTGCCAATTTATAGGGATTATAGTCTACAATATAGCTGCTTATAGTGACAAAATCTATCGATTTAATGATGTACCTTTTACCTGTCAGCATGTTCAGTCGGGTCAATCACTTAAGTATAATGGTCAATCGGTCTTATTAAACACCCCCCCCCCCAACAAAAAGAGGAAGGTCCGCCCTTGTTTGATTAACATCCACAACATTTCGAATAAATGTATATTATGAATAAAAGTATTTAACAATCTAAAAAATTCTTGATTATAAATCAATTTATGCGAGGCAAATATTTAAACAATATTTTAAAAAAACCTATAAACTCCACAACTCCCACCCCCAAAAGAAAAAAAAACTATTCTTCTAAAACCACGCCTGATCAAACAGTATCTTTATACTGTATTTGAGCTCAACTTGACTCAAAACAGATCTTAAAGGTGAAGACCACTTTTGGAAACGCCCCCCTCTCAAAAAACGAAATGAAAGCTCTTATCACCAATCATGTGAAATAATATGTTTTGACTACGACGTTATAATTTTGCCGGGACGCAAACCGCCTACTATTTAATATATATTTTGGTATCATATCGATCCGACTTTAATTTCGCGAATGCACTTCAACATTGAACATTTGGGCATACATTTCTGCTTTTCTGCGAATTTAGGTTGAAGTATTGCCATCTAAACCTCTGAAGGCAACATTTAAACAATATTGCATGCATATTTTGCCCCAAAAACCCTTGAACCGAAATTTTACCACTACCGGCCTATATCTTTAAGCTTTCTAGCCAAGTAGCTATAGCCTGTATAAAAATGCTGTTCATCTCAATCTGTCCACATTGCCAATGACACCCAACAAGAACGGCACTCTTTCAAATCCGATTAAGATATTACTGTCATTGAAACCTGTTGGTTTGCACTTTCTCATGACTGTGCAGAGTCTTTCAGGTTGACAATGAAATCACATCGAGTCGGCGCAGAAGCATTTCAATGCAGAGTGAGACGCCACCGTTTCTTTTTTTAATTTCTGTCGCATCGAGGATCGGAGCGCGGCGTCACTTCCAAAAATAATATTCTGGAATGCCAACAAGTTTTACTCGAATCTGAAAATTAGTTATAATAAATGAGCACACAACCTGTTTATGGCATTGCAGCGTATATCTATATATCTTACACGAGTCATGTATGCGTCACGCAAATGGTTTGCAAATTTGCGGCAAATTTGTAGGAGCTTGTTTCATACAAATGATTTGGATTTCTGTATTAATATCAGGGGCGGCGATCCCAGGGGAAAGGGGGGGGGGGGGGACACGTCCCCCCTCGATTTTTGAAGGGGGGATGGTCCCCCCGGAAAATTTGAAAAAGTACAAAAAAATAATGTACAGCAAATACTGACTAAAGACTGCAACACACTATTATGCTTCGGAGGGCCCAAGAGTGCAGCGTTTAGACAAATAAAAATGCAAAAATCTTCTGGCTCGGGAGCTATGCTCCCTCGCATAATATCCTTCAAAATGTTCAAGTAAATATTGTAGAAAAGTGAAGTGTGAGAAAAAGTTTATTGTTTCTTTTCATACTATAGTTTTCCTAAGGAATATAATTTTGTAAAACAACAAAACTTCAAAACCTGTGAGGGGAAAGTTAATTTCGTCACCTTCACCCCTCTCGTTCACTATGCTCACTCGATCGGGCTTGAGGCAGTCCCCCCTCCCCCCCCCCCCGATAAAATTAAAACGTGGTATATTTCTAATTCGATACCAGTGACTAATTTACAAATGTTGCTGAAATGGCATGATTTTCTCTGAGCTTCCGGGGGCTCTGCACCCTTACCCCCACCAAGGGGGCCCTAAGACGGGCCCCTGCATGGTTGATCATCTGACCATATTCAAAAGCCTAAAACCCGGAGCTTCCGGGGCTCCGCTCCCTACACCCCACCAAGGACCCTAAATAAGGCGACCCCTGGATGATCATCTGATCGTAAGTTAATGCCTAAAACCGCTGAGCTTCTGGGGGCTTCGCCCCCTGGACCCCACTTCGATAAGTGACCTGCATGCAAGTGTCACAATTAAGGTATCAAAATATGCTCATCTGACCCTTATTAAATGGCTAAAAACTCTGACCTTCATGAGGCTCCGCCCCTGGACCCCACGCCACTTTACGCGCCATTTACTTTGCTCTATTTGATCGCAAATACTTTAGCCCCCCCCCCCCCCCCCCACTCCCACTTTGAAAAACGTTCCGCGGGGCCTGCATGTAACATGTAAGGGTGCATGGTGATGATTCGGATCCCCCCCCCCCCAAAAAAAAAGCGTTTTTGCTCATTACGTCACTCCTCCCTCGTTCCTCGCGTTTCGTCCCCCTCCCCCCCTCCGGTCATGAAAAGAAATCGCCGCCCCTGCCAAATAGCCAGGAAGAGCATGTGTCTTTTATAGTCACCAAGGGGCCTTATAGTGGCCACTAACAGTAGTACAAAAATTAGTAAAACACTAGTAAAAAAATTCCTTTCCAAAAGCTACTGTGACAAGCACTGCCGGGAGATAACATGCTACCCACCACTCGGGCTGAGCATGCACAGATTTGCGAACGAACGTTCCATACTTACATTATGTAACACTGCGTATGTACCGTTAAGGGGCCCAGTCGGGAAATTGAATTCAGACAAGATTAAGAGTATAGAGAACGGTACAACGAATCGTCTTCTTTCTCAAATAATTTAATGAACCGGCAAAGCTTCCGCACTTCGCGCAGGAGGGGGCAACTGAATTCATACTAGGATTAAGAGTCGAGAACGGTACAACGAATCGTCTTCTTTCTCTAATAATTTTAATGAAACGCGAAAATGATTTCAGACAAGGATTAATAATTAAATAAAACGACAAAGCTTCCGCACTTCGTGTGGGAGGGGGGGGGGAACTGAATTCAGACAAGGATACGATCGAATCGTCTTCTTTCTCTATAAATTTAATGAAACGTGAAAGCTTCCGCGCCTCGCGGGGGGGGGGGGCGAATCAAGAATTAAAAGTCGAGAACAGTACAACGGATCGTCTTCTTTCTCTAATAATTTAATAAAGTGTCGAAGCTTCCGCGCGAAGCGCAGAAGGGGGAAATGCATTCAGACAAGAACACGATACAACGAATCATCTTCTTTCTCTAACAATTTAATGAAACGTCAAAGCTTCCGCTCTTTGTGCGGGATGGGCGAAAAAGAATTCAGAAAGGATTAAGAGTAATAATTGAATGAAACGCAAAGCTTCCGCGCTTCGCGGGGGGGGGGGGGAACTGAATTCAGACAAGGATTGAGAGTCGAGAACGGTACAACGGATCGTCTTCTTTCTCTAATAATTTAACGAAGTGTTAAAGCTACCGCGCTTTGCGCAGAAGGGGGGGGGGGAGGGGAACTGAATAATAACTTCCTGGCCCCGGGTTTATAGAGTTAAATTTGTAGACATTTGGACATTGGGCATAAATATATTTGTCGGTAATTGATGGCCTGAAAATGCATCTAATTTGGTTCCAAAATTGCAAATGCTTCTTACGCTAAGAGGGGGCCAGAACCCCCTCCCAGACCCACCCCCGCTTGGTCGCTCCGCTCCCTCGCCGCTAAAGCCTCGTTCTGTCGCTTCATCGTTTCACATATACTTCACCCCATGCCATTTTGTGCCCCCCTCCCCGGTAAGAAATTCCTGGATCCACCCATACTACTTTGAGAACTGTTTAGCGGGGCCTGCTTGTTAGAGTGGGGTGATGCAGATTTTTTTGTCAGCCCCCCAACGTTTTTGCTCATTACGCCACTGCTGTCCATGTAGTTATAGAATTGAAAGCAGTAGACCAATTTCAGCTTACGTTTAAAGACTTCAATTTGTTAATACCAACCCCGGCCCCCCCCCCCCACTCAGTGTTATTTAGGGTACGCATATGCTCGTTCCCTCTTTTTGAAAGCACCCCCTATCTGAGGACTGCCAACATTTCCGAACCCCCCTTTCGCGGGCTTTTCGCGGGCTTTTCGCGGGCTTTTCCTGCCTTGGAGACCCCCCTAAATCAGGAAAAATGCTCAATGTACCCCCCTAAATTCGGAATAATTTCTCAGGAGTCCAAAGCGATGAGAGAAAAAAAAGAAAAAACACCCCCTTTTTAAAGAAATCTCCGGGTGAAAAGTCAAATACACCCCTTTTTTTTACAATTCTCGGGCCGGACTTTGTCGCACGAAAAGTACCCCTTTACCGGACATTTTGGCAACACGCATCCGGTCATTTCGAAACCTGAGTGGGGGGGGGGGGGGGGGGCCGGGATACCAACATTTCTACAGAGAGATGGGGAGACGGGACTGAGGAGTACAGGTGTAATAATCATTCACTGTACATGCATCCTATATAGAGAGTTAACCTTCATTTGCCCTTCTCAGAGCATGGTCTGTTCTATCATGTCCTGGCTTTTGACACAGGAATGGATATTCTGAAGAAAATTGGGAGGAGAAAAAAAAATATAAAGACCAACAACGACAAACGAGTAACTGGCCGCGACATAAGCAATCGCGACTTGGAAAAAATGTAGTGCGCCATTTACGTCGAAAAGGCGCGTAATATAAATTTGTCAACACAGACAACATTTCCCGCTGTAGTGTAGGTATTCCAATCTTAAATCCTTTAAAAAATGATATTTTTACTCTTTGTGTTATTTGTTGTGAAAGATTTGTTCGGTCCTATGTATTGATGTGAATTCAGTGTATTAAAATGTTGTAGTTTGTTAATGGCTTGGCGCAACTGTGTTTGATAAATTATGACGTGAAGTCTAACAGTTAAAGAGTGCGCATGCTACACACAGATTTGATCTTGAGTGTTGATTTTGCGGCCTGCACAGATCCTACAGGCACAGGAACGGGCTCGATCGCTCGGCTTTCGGGGGCCCCTCGCTCTGCATGTGGGCTTTGCTGCTACAGCCATACTCGTAATTTAGTGGCTAGTTCGTGCTAGCCTATCCGATATGCTTCAGACTTTCTGGCAAGTATTAGACTATACAAATGATACACTGCTGTGAGGGCATTAGTAAGAATTACCCACACAAGGCTTTGGAACGGTCTAAGTTAAGTGACTACAGTACGCCCTAGCCGAGGTGCTCGAAGGTACTGTAGTAGACCGAAATTTTTGTCTCTTTCGTTCGTTAGCCTCTGATTTGGGTAGGGTCGGCTCCTCTCTTTAGACACAGAAACCGACCATAGGCGCTCCTGTGCGAACGTTGTGTCCATTTATGGCCACAGAACTTTCCCCAAAATACTCAATTTTACCGGATTCATATCATGCCTAACTTAGATCTATCCGATGCATTTATTTATTTTTGAAAATTAGACCTCTAACTTTAGGCTAAACTACATGGGTTCCACTTACCAACTTGAATGTGTTTAATGGTCCCTTTTTAGGAAATTATGGGTCAAAATCGACATCCATGTTGAAAATCTTGCAGCCGTATTTTGAACTCCCACTGCATGACGTCATCTAGACTAAATTTCATAGTCTACTCGCAAGGCAAAATGATTATGAAGGAAAAAATGTGATATCGTCATTACAAATTCGTAGCTCATGCACATTTTTCCCATCATTTCTTTCATCTCACTACTCATGCTGACCTCTCTTTCTCTCTCTTTTGCTCACTCTCTGGGCTTTGGTTTTCAGCTCTTCACTCTAGCTGGAATCTAGGCCTTGCAGTCAGAGGCTGTTTCACTGCAGTCATGCCCAAGCACAAATCAAGCACCAGCAGTCAGAGTGGGGAGCCCAAGTCTAAGAAGGCCCGCACCAAGTCGAGCCGAAGTGACGATAATGATGAAAGCGAGGAAGAGGAACTAACCAACCAGTCTCAGAGGCCAGACTTTACTGCTCCATTGGAAGAGGTATGTAGAGGTCTTGTGGTGTAGATCTTGGGGATAAGTCTCCAGGCTGTGAACCACAAGGTATGGGGTTCAAACCTTTATTGGTGATCAAATGAGGACTCAAGTCTTCTTTATTCCTAGTAACTTGTCTCTTTTTCTTGTACAAAAAAAATCATCTTTCAATTCTTTTGCTCTTTTTATCCTTCCAGAGAGAAGCAGAATATGGAATCATTGAGAAAATATCAGTAAAGAACTTTATATGCCATGGACGACTTGAATGCAACTTTGGTCCAAATGTCAACTTTGTTGTTGGGCGCAATGGGAGTAAGTGACATAATCCTTTTAGCTTGATAATACATTAAGATGGAGATTTGTCATGGTAATCAAAGTTTTCTGTTAGTCAGATGGTTTGTGGATGTTAGGTCTTGGAGAAATGAAAGAATAACAACTGATGAATTAGTGCTCATAAACTCCTGTGAAGTAAGAATTGTACGATTGAAATATGGATAAGGTTTGATATTTATAGATCGCTATTGAAATTTGATGTTACAATTTAATTGAACTTGCAATTTCTATTTCTGTCTCGGCTAGAATGAAAAAAGTGTAGATGCATACCACTGCATGTTGTATTGCTTCAGTTTTGTAATAAAATAACTGTATTTTGTCTCAGACCTTTCATGATTTACGATATGACTTTGACATTGATTTCTCACAGGTGGAAAGAGTGCGATTCTGACAGCTATTGTAGTGGGCCTGGGTGGAAAAGCCATCGCAACAAGCCGTGGTAACTCTGTTAAAAACTTCATCAAGGCTGGAAAAAAGTAAGAACCCACTTTCGTATCAAAATGTTCAAGTTGCATAAGAATTAGACTTAACTGCCATTTGTTGCAAGAGAGGCATTGAAATCTGTACTTCATGTAAAACTGACTGAATGATGTTCTACAGACTTGTATCATTCACACATAGCAAAGTAAAAGGTACTGATTTTTTTTGTAGTGCTAGTGTCTAACATTATTATTGTGGACAATAAAACATGAATCTTGAAAATACAACGAAAAATTGTTTGAATTTCTAACCTCCGAGATAAATTACAAAAAATAATGCTTTGTTGATTTCTTACAGCGTTGCTGAGGTATGCATCAAGCTGCGTAATCGAGGAACTGATGCCTACAAGCCAGACGTGTATGGACCGTCCATTACAGTGACGAGAAAGATAATGAGAGAGGGCGGTAACAGCTACAGAATAACGTCAGCTAAGGGTAAAGTGATAAGCAACAAGAAGGATGAGCTGTCTCACATCATGGATCATTTCAACATTCAGGTAAGGCCAAATAACAAAAATTAATTGTTTTTTGTCATTGCTCGCCTCCTTTTTAAAAAACTATTTACTATTTTGACCATGCACGCCTTTCTGATTGACCTTTGACATTTGTTCTTGTTATTCCCTCAGGTTGATTGACCTTTGAAATCCGTTCTTGTTTGTCCCTCGGGTTTATTGACCTTTGACATCTGTTTTTTGTTTGTCCCTCAGGTCGATTGACCTTTGACATCTGTTTTTTTTTTTGTCCTTCAGGTTGATTGACCTTTGACATCTGTTCTTGTTTATCCCTCAGGTTGATAACCCTGTATCTATCATGAACCAGGAGACCAGTAAGAACTTTCTTCTCAAGCAAAGTGCCAAGGACAAGTATAAGGTTTGACTAGATACTCTTCCAACTATTCCTTTCCTTGTTGATGTTTATATGAAGGGTAATACATTCCTTGCCTGACTCTCCCATGTCGCAAACATCATGAATTTCATAATAAGATAAATGAACAGTTTTTTTTGTGTTTCTTTTAATGTATTTTTGTCCAAGGAGCAGTTAATGTTTCATCCTGATATTTCAAGAGTTTGACTAACATTATTTGACTAGAGTACAGGGGGTGAATTCAGATCTCGAACCCCTTCCCCAGCACCCATTTGCGTTCATCTCATTTGAAAATGCAAAAGAAGAAGAAATTGTTGTTGAGCACCTTCAGCAGCCATGCTGAGGTGACATCCAAAATACTAATATAACCATGGGCAGAGAACACTTAGGAAATCTTTTTTTTTTAAGTATTCATTAGTATAAGGAAAAAAATATATAATTTAGCCAAGCTCAGATGTGAGGCATCATTGATTGATCTTACTATATTAATGATTTTTTTTATATTTTTTTTTAAAAACTAAGCTTTGAAATGTTTCTACATCCAAATTGTTTACTGATTCAATTTTCTTGTGACATTAATTCAACAGTAGCCCGCAAGAAGGCCATCACTGCTATTGACAGTACATAACACTGACGGCCTTTTTGTGAGCAGCCGACAAATTACATTGATGTGAACTTATGGCAACTTTTTTCCCCCCCACTGTAGTTTTTCCTGAAGGCAACTCAATTGGATCAAGTCTCCAATGACTATCGTGAAATTATGCTGAATAAGGGAATTACAGAACAGAAGGTCGATGCACAGAGTACTGTAAGTTTGTCATATTAACTGATTTGTTTTAAATACTTTTATCCAAGACCTAAGTCAAATTTTTATTTTCACACAATATTTGTGATGTATTTTTTTGTTGACATTTATTTTTGTTTCTTTTTCCAATATTTCAACAATTTTGTTGTAATGGTTTCACAGGACAATTTTTAACAAATAGTTCCTTGACACTGAAAGTTTGAAAAATGTAATCGTAATCTTTCTCTCTTCACCTCGTCAACAGAAACTTCCTGCCCTGGAATATGAGGTATTGGAGATAGAACAGAAGTTCAAGGCGTTGACCTGTCTTCATGATTTGACCAATAAGAGAGAGGAGCTTATCAACCAATCGGCTTGGGCACAAGTTGCAGAGTTGGAAAGGGTAAGAGGTCACTTAAATTTGCTTTTTTTTCTTTTCCTTTAAATGTTTATTTCTGTTTGCTATTAGTCCTATATGCCTTCACATTGCAACTATTACATAGATTATTTTGTGTCCTGTACCAACTAAATGAGTTTGTGATTGATTGCTGTTTTGCAGTTGACCACTACAGTATGTGCAATCCATTGATCATATCTTCTGTTTGGAGCCAGAAGGGATGTTAACTCATATACTTTAACATAGAGATATAAAATAGATTGAGGATATGATTTCAGTTAGACAGTTGAAAGTTAAAAGAATATATCGAGAGTTAATTCAAACAAAAATCGAAAATTCTAGAGCGGAGGAATTTTGGCGTAATACTTTGGAAATTGAATATATACCTGTATGGTCAGATGTTTGGTTATTTAAGTTAAAAAGTATAAAAGACAGCTTACTAATTAATTTCAACTTTAAATTCATGTATAATATTTTAACAATACCATATCATTTGTTTAGATGGAAAGTTAATGCCAATGATAAATGTTATTATTGTAATCAAACAGGTGATTGTATGCACATGCTCTTTTTTTTAACGAAGTCAGTATGTTTTGGAATGAAGTTGAAAGGAATATAAAGAAATATTTCATGTCTAATTTTAATTTCCAGCCATGTCATCTATTGTTTGGTATTGATTTTAATTCAAAGAAGGAAAAAGATGTGGATATTATTTTGAATTATGCACTTTTTACTATTTACAAAAGTTTTGTTGGAAAAGAATTTAAAAAGAAAACAACTAAAAAGAGACTTCTTCATATTTTTATTTACCTATTAAGTTATCGTTTACAAATAGAAGAAAATATTAGAAAACCATGTATATCCCTCCAGAAATGGAGGCAAATGCTAAAAATGTGAATATGTTTATATTATTATGAAGAAGAAAAAAATAAAGAAGACCTGAAATGGTTATGTTACATACAAAAAAAACAAAAAAAAACATAGAGTTGAATAATGCCCTTCTGGCTCCAAACAGACGATATGATCAGTTGTTACACTTGTGATACTAGCCCAAGAAGTAAGGAAATATAGTGATCAAATGATTTTTCTCCTGAAGAACTGAAAGCTGAATACACCCACCTGTACCATGTGTTATTTTACAGTTATCATTCCATTTTCACTAAGGCATTTCATCTCTGGTCTGAGCTTTTGTTTCTGTTTAAAAGTTTTTGTTTTACTTTCCCTCTGTTATAGGAGAAGGACACCAAAAGGAATGAAGTCCAACGTGAAGAAAACCGAGAGCCCAAGTTTGTTGAGAAAATTCAACAACAGGAGGTATGTGTTGCAAAGTAAACATGAAGGGTCATGTATGATATAATATGAGGACATTACCCATGCTCTTGCACTTTTCATCAAAATATAATGAATGCTTTGTGTAAGTAAAATAGAATTAGCAAATATCATTTAGTAAGAGAATGTATTTATCAGGCCTTAAAGAGATGGTTGAGTTCTGGGAAGAAGTGAAAAATAATTTGTGAGCATTATCATTGCTATTATGCAAGTGTGGAAGAATTTCAGATTATAAAAAATCCCTGAAAAGCATGGCTCTTCAAATACCTTAATATTCTAAATATGGCATGTAACATCATAAAAAACCAGGACAGATTTTTATGCCACATGTTAGTAGAGTCCCATATACATCTTTTGGTGTGCAGTGCTTGTTACTTTACCAAGACTGTGCCAATTTCTTATCATTTTGATGATTCCAGAACCTTGCAGTACACACCAATACTTATATGCTAGATAATCAACTTTTTCTGATTCCACAACGTTTCTTTCACAATGCTACTGCATAACCAGAACTCAACTTAATATCTTTAAGCCACGGTCTCATCCATCCCGCATAGGCTTAGCGAGGGGTCCATATAGAGATTTTGGGGTTGTACAGGTGGCCTGTGCGCACTACACAATTTCAAGCTACCTGACCCCTGCGTAGCCTTCATTTTCCTATGTGGACAGAAATTTGAGAATTTTTTTGTTGTTGATTCTTGAGTATGACACAATCAGATGCAAAAATTAAAAGAAAATGTAAACGCTGTTTTCATTCCTTTGTTCTTGCTTTGCAGGCTAATGTGAAGAAAGCAGAAGAAAAGCACGCCCAGATCCAGAGCCAAGGAGAAGCCTTGAGACAGAGACTGGAGAATCTATCCCCGCAACATGACACAGCTAAAGAAAATGTACAGAGGCTAAAAAAGACTGTCAAAACTCTCGAGGTATGTTCCAGGATTCATCTCTATGGAATTAAAAAAAAAAAGGCAATATTGATCATCAGGACAGCATCTCACAAAACAGTCATAAGAACAAGTTCACAGACATCCCAATGAAACGCGTGTTAAACTTAATGCACACGTTTCAATGGGATGTCGGTGAACTTGTACCTATGACGGTTTCATGAGACGCTGCCATGTTCTTCAATTTTGCAACATTAATATTATACCTCTAATGCTACATTATTCTAATAACATGTAATATTTATTTTACAAATGTACTTTATTGACAAATTTTGATTGTAAAACAATTTTTGAACCTCTCAACTTGTTTCCAATGTAGGGATTGTGAAGCTTATTTTCCTTCTTAGAATTCCTGACATCATACGCACGCCATATAGTCATGTAACAAAATGGATGCAGTGTGCATAGAAGTTTTTGCTTGCTTCTCATGCATCTCGCTATTGGTTCTTACCCCAAAATGGGGAATGACTGTCTCAAAAAGATACCCAACAAATGGATGCATACATCCAGAACTCGGGAATTAATCAGGGAATCAAAAAATTTTGGGGGCCATATTGTGACCATATTGCTTAGGGCACATTGCTCCTTGTTCTTTGCACCTTTAATCGGGCAAATGGTTTCATCCTACCCAGGGACATTGGGTCATTGCATATGTCTTATATCTAGCTCTAACACTTATATTGTTTTTGTGTTCTTTGTGCAGAGAGAGATCAAACAAATAACCACGCTGATCCATAGTGAAGAATCGGATAAAAATGACATCTTGCAGAGAATTCAGGATGAAAAAGAAAGGTAAGTGACTACAGCTTCACAGGCATATTTTGGTCATTCACTTGTCGTAAAGAACTATGAAGATGACAGGATGTAAATCATGAATTTCTGGTTATTCAGAAGCATCATTTTGGAGATAGCTTGTACTATGATCGCCACCAGACGATAGTCACAAGGCAAAAGTGAAAAACTGTTTAGCATTGACAACAATTTTTTTTTTGAACTGTCAGATACCCTCTATAATATTGCACAACTCAGAAATGGCACACTATATATCCATGTGCTTGGTGTCAGCAAATGTGCAAGGGTTTATAGGGAAAGATGTTAAAGTGGCATTGGTGAAAGTTTCAGTAGTTTAGAATGAGAGCGTCAAAATTTGTCCAGAAAAAGGTTTTCAATTGAGGGGAGAGGCTCGAGAGAAAGATTTTAGTTTAATTTAAATTATTCTAAAGAAATTTACATCATTCCCGAGACTTACGCTTCAAGCAGGGATACATATTCAGGCGTTTTGGTCATTCACTTGTCGTAATGAACTATGAAGATGACAGGATGTAAATCACGAACTTTTGGTAATTCTTGTTGCTACCACAGGGACCAGGCACAGTTTGAAGAGGAGAGGCTTGAGAGAGAAAGACGAGTCTCTGCTTTGATGGAAGAGAAGAGAGATCTGGAAGCTCAGAAGCAGAATGCTGCCAGGGAGATTGACCAGTTTGCTAATGCCGTCAACAGTGCTAGAGAGAGAAATTACTCACTGCAGTAAGATATTTGATGAAAACTTGAGCTTAAATTTTAAATCATGCTTGACATGTATTGATATAACTATCTGTATCCATATCAATAACTAGGAATAAAATGGTAAAGTTTTCAATGTACAAGAGATTGCATCCTTAAAGGTAATACAAAGTTTTGGTATGGGGTCATGAATTTGGTTCAAATTAACATATTTGAAGCATATGCGTTCCTACATTATTCATTGATCGTTGTCCCGGTTAAAATCAAGTCTAAAGTTATGAAATTATAAATAATAAACTATTTATGTTGTTTTGCTCCCTCTCAAGGTCAAGATATAAATTTAGCTATGAAACAATGTTTCTTGACAAAAATCGACCGATTAGCTATTCCCGTTTGGAAATAATATATCACAACTACATATTCTGAGATTTTCATGGTCGTAGCTACCATTGTACGGTCGTAGGCGCTATTTGAAATTTGTCAAAATTTACCGGGAGCACCGGTAAATTCTTATATTCAATTTTTCTCGAAAGCAGAAGTGTTTTAGGGGTTAATTTTTGTAGTGCTTATGAAACATCCACAGGGGCATCCAAATATATAAAAATTGTAAAGATTCACTATCCACCCAATTTTCAAAATTTCCCAAAACTTTGTATTACCTTTAATCTGCAAATGAAAAAAAAGTAGTTTCTTTAACTTTCCCCTTGGTAAATAACAATGCATAATAAGAAATACAGGATACAACTTGTAATTCTGGTAAATATGTAGATGGAAATTTGTTCATAAACCTCTGAGCCATCACGCCTCTTTGAGTTGGAGGAAGGTGCAGGTGTATCTCGAACATACAGACATCGAACCTGTCACAAGTAAATACTGTGCCATAGACTCAATAATTCATGATTAAAACCATCCTGCTAAATTTGTTTCATGAGATAGTAATAAAGTTCTGGCAAATGTCATGATGGTGTTTTCAGATCCAAAGATAGTGAGCTAAATCAAGCCGTAACTGCTGGGAAGAGAAGACTAGAGAACCTTGAAGGAAGCAGAAAGAATCGGCTGAAGCTGTACGCGGACTACATGCCTAACTTACTGGCAGAGATTGATCGATCTACTGCTAAAAATCGGTTCCACGAGAAGCCCCTTGGTCCTGTGGGTAAGAATTTGTTACCGTTTGTTTTAGCAGTGAACTAGGCTTGGGAGCGAGAGCCGAGTACCCGACTCTAACCGATTCTGAAATCCAGAACCGAGGAGTCGACTCCAATCTCTAGAGAGTCGATTACTCGAGCACGTCGGTTCCGAGAAAAGGAGACTCGGTTCCAAGATAAGAACCGAGTCTTTGGCGCTGGAGTCGACTCCACAGCACCAAAATTCAAAGAGATACTTTGCAAAAGTGAACAAGGAACATTGCCCGAACGAACTGGTGTCGATTCCACAGCACAGAGAATGAACAAAATCAGCTCTGTCAAAGCAGAATGCATGCGAGCGATGGGCGCACTAGCAGCATGCTGTTTTGATACACACATTTGTGTATAGCACTGCTGCATGTTGTCTGTAAAACTGCCCCCCCCCCCTCCCAGCTGAACGTTTGACCTTTGGTAAATTGCGCAAGAGTCTTGGAACAATGGCCCCATTTTCTCTCCTCTTGGAGCGTGTGATCAAGGAGTTGATTCATGTTTTCTCTCGTGCGCAAACTGATTTATGTGACTTTGTGTTTGCTCTCTCTCTCTCTCTCTCTCTATCCCTAGTCTCCCCTTCCCCTAGACATCAGACGTTTAGTTTTCTTCCTCAAATAAACTAAATCACACAACTCACAATTTCCTCCTCCTTTCTCTCCCTTGAATTATCCTTTTATTCTTTTATTCTTCTTAAAAATAAGTTTGACAGGTCTACAATTTACATGTACATTCCCCCACCCCCTATATCTTGTTTCCTTCAGTTATTTTGTTTTCCTTGCAAGAATAAATGTGGCAGGTCAACATCTCCCCTTCTCCCTTTCTCTCCCCCTCTAGCATCCCCTTCTGTTATTATTTTTGTCTCAAGAATAAGTTTTGCAGATCTACATCTCTCTGTCTTGTGTTCTTTTTGGGGTATTTAAACAAATAAGAATAATTCAGGCAAGTCAAGTGTCCCCTCTCGCTGTGGCATTAGCGCAATCTCTAAGAGTGGCTGAAAATGCAGACTAGTTATTCTGAAACCAAGATCTAGCGCTGTTATCTGTTGTTTTTAGAAAGCACGTGGTTAGTAGTAACCATGGGAATGGAGTGCCACGAGCTGGGGCTGGGGTCATTAAAGTTTTTGGGTGGCATTGGGCGGGCGGGCGGCCATGTGAGCATGAGTTATTTACACTTAGCTCTCAGATAAAGGTTGGTCCCTGGGAGGAGAGCCAGCGGACCAGGCATGTTTCGGATACATTCCATTTATTTTAGGCAGGGAATCAGAATCTTTAGTTTTACATAATGGATTGTTTACCGTAATATTGGAAATAATTGTTCTGCATTTCTTACATTTTAGCAGTGTAAGTACGAGTTGATTATTCCATCATTCTATGTTGAAGTTTAGAATTTAAATTAGACCTAACATGTTTTTGTTTGTTTACATTGTTGCCAAGTTGCCATGAGTTATTAAATAATTAATTACTTTATTAGCAGTGGTCATGTTTTTTTCTCGATTTGATCGAAAGTAGTAAAATAAATCATTTCATAACTGTTTATGAAGGTCTGCACTTTGATCTTCTTTATATATTGTTTGCATGTAATTGTAGAGATATCATGAGACGAAACTTATACAAAACATCAATTTACACACACAAGTCACACATACATTCATACTTTTGATACTCATTTTCAAAAGTAAAGTTTTCCAAAAAAATATCTCAGAAAATCATCTGTTGCTATCGGTGCCACTGCTGAGTGGAGCCGACATGCACAGTACATAACATACAGTGTGTAAACACCTCCCTGGTGTGTGTGTGTGGCCTTTACAGCATTGTGGCTTCAATTACATGTACTGTATATGGCAGCCAGCGGGAGTCGATTCCACTTGGAACCGAGGCCGAGAGTGGGAACCGGAGTCGGTTCTCATCAACAAGGGAACCGCCCAAGCCTACAGTGAACTCTCATTTGCACATGCCGCGATGAACCGCAGTGAACCGCAGCAGGGTTTTTTGGGGGAAGGGGGGGGGGGGTGCCAAATGAAAAGCAGGTGGGGATGCTGCAACAAGGGTCCAACAAATACTTGCTTGTCTGTGTTACAACATACAGTTTACTGAAGAAGAAAAGGAATACATGGGATTGGAGAATGATTTACCTCAACTGATTACCTAGATTTCTTTTTATGATGTATATTGAATGTTTAATGATTATGTTATCTGATAAATTGTCAAACAATTGTCCCCCATCCCCCATGATGTAGAAAACCTCACGTCTGATAATTACCCAATTTAAATTGGTTTCCTGATTTTTCCCTTATTTTCACTATTCTTCCTTATTTTTCGCAATTTTCTTACTCAAAAGGGGGGAAATGTTGTTAGATGCCATTTTTTCCCCCCGAATCCTATTTTTCTTTACCGTTACTCAAGGGGGGCGTGGTTGAGGAGGGAAAAAAAAGAAGAGGATTCGGGGGAATTACCCTGGAGTACTTCAATTCATTGACTTGATATGAAAAACGGATATCAGTTTTAGAGTATTTATTACATATTGATTCTTTGTGTCAGTAAAAAGAACTTGTTAAAGGTTTTATTCAAAAATCTGTTTGTTTTTTCAGGATCATTCCTTAAGCTGAAGGATGTTCGTTGGGCGCTTGGTGTGGAATCTTGCTTGAAACGATTGATGTTTTCCTTCTGTTGTCATGACCAGCATGATGCTAGTATTCTCAAAGACATCATGAATAACCTCATCCCACAGCATGCTACTCAACCCTCCATCATCACTTCAAAGTTTGAGGTACGCAAGGATAATTTAAAAAACTCACCTTTTCTGTTAATAACATAACTGTACATGGGAAACACCCTATATAAATACATTATTATTGTTATTATCATCATCATTATAGTTTTTGTTTGTGTCATTGGAACAGAGTCCTGGCATACCTCAGATTTGAAATATTCCACAGAGCTGCCAAGTAGTCCGTTTTTAACGTATTAATATGTTTTTGGGGGGTAAAATACGTTTGTACGTTTTGCTGTGCTAAATTACGTTTTTTGAAAGTTTCAAGTATGGCTGTGCAAACGTGGTTGGCTGTGAGAACGAGCGTATGCATAGTTGTGCTATTGCTTTGTATTGGTGATTCCTGCAGCGCGCACGCATCCGCATTGCACACAATACAGGGGATGTACACCACTCAAAGAGGTGCGCATTTCCCCAGTCCATGCATACGGTACAGTACATGCACCGAGTATCGAGGCAGCAAATCTAATTGCCATATCCATAACACACGCAAATGACATACCAATGCAGTACACACAGTGTCACTCACTAACGTACAAGAAAGTCCATCCTAAAAGCCTAATTTTGCTGTCAAAAATGCGGAATCAGAGCCATATTTCCAAAGCATGCGAGGGCTTAGCCCAGTTTTAAGAAACAGTTTCGCCAAAAAAGCGCTAAAAATCAAGAAATCATTACAAGTTTTTCTGATTATCGCAAGCCCTTCGAATGTGATGGTATCTTCAAAAAGTCAAATGAAAAACAAACACCGGACCCTGCTTGATGCATTGCTTTGTGTACAAAGTTGATTGCAACTCCAAACTTGCCTTGATTCGACCCTCGTATTCATTGACTTAGCGTTTTAATTTCAGATTTTCTAAAATTCTGTGATGTATTTAATTAATTAAATTTTCTGATAAAATAGGTAAATATATTTAACATATATTGGTAAAAATACAATTTTTTTTTCCTTGAAAATATTTTTTTTATTTAAAAAAAAAAAATTGTTTAAATTGATAGGTCGGCAGCTGTCAATGATTGAACACGTTTTTATTCAAAGAAACATAGTTGCAATAGTATTTTACAGGGAAAATAATGAACATTTTTAAAAACGGGCAAAATATGCTTTTTCAAGCTGAATAATATTTTTTTTGAAAGTGACAGGTTGGCAGCTCTGATGCCAGGACTCTAGTTGCCAGTTGCTTTGTGTAGAGTTCAAGTGGTCAAGTGGATATATCTCCAGAATTCAAATCTCTTCTGTACCCTTGTAGCATAGTCACACTGACAAGACAACACCAGCCCAACAACAGACTAAACAAACAAACAGACAAACAATGACAGTACTCCAAATGACCAACATTTTCTCACTTGTTGGTTTAAAAGTTTGTAGTTGGTGTAGTGGTAAGATGTCCTTTGGAAAGACATTAATTTATATTTTGCACCCTCTGCCAAGATGCAGTAATTGACTGTCTGTTTGGAAGTACTTTATTGAGTGCTTTTGAAGACCTTGAAAGGCACCCTGGCTTTAAGTCAGGATGATAATATGTTACTTGATATCACCTGCTTAGAGCTAGAAAGGTGTTTAATCTGTGTACAAATATACAGGTTAGATCGAGCCCTTCTATCTCTGAATATACAATATGTGCAATTAAAATTGTCAAGGGTTAGGGCTATGTTTAGAGTGTATTCCATGATTGAAATTAAGAACTAATAATAGTGTGCAACAGATGTCACTGAGGCATGTGTCATACAACCCTTTTATTGCTGCAAGTGTAAAACATTTCTAGCAAATATTTGCTACCATATCACTATCTAGATATATATAATAATAAATTTCGATTCAATTCAATTCAATAATACCTCCTCTTTCACCCTTCTCATCAATCTTGGTCACCATAAAGCCAAACCGGTATGACATCCGTCGTTCAACTGTGCAGAGTAACGACTTCCCTGGCTTTCTAGATATCGTTGATGTCAGCAATCCAGTAATCTTCAACACTCTTGTCGATCAGGTAAAGCTCATTATACTTCAACTTCACCCAACCGTTTTTCCATGGATATAGGACAGGCTTTAACAAATCTTTCAACACTTAAATGTCTGGAATGAGATATAGATCCAATTCATTGCTTTGTGACGATTCACCTTAAATGTAATTAAATTGTAATAATATAGTTTGGAGAATTAAGGAATCGATCAGATCATTTTTTCCCAATTTTTATCATTAATAATAGTCTGTTTTCACTCAAACTTTCAGATTATCTTTAATTGTACACCTAGCATTAAAGTCTCTACCTTAGCACCATTTTGTCTCATCTGAACAATGTTACCAAGTCCCTTTAATAGTCCTGTCTTGTATAGTAGAGTGATCAATCTGAATTGAACTCAAGTCCCCAATTATGTCAATGTATGATCAATGATTTATTGATTTGTGATTGAGTTTGATCAATCACATCTCCCTCTATGATGTGGCCCTGATTTGACCATCACCCTTGATTGATTGGTCAGTGGGTCGGTCGTACTTGTCTGGTCACCTTTTCTGGTCAGTCGGTTTTTACCCGACCGCTAAGAAAATAAAGATGCATTGTGTAAGCTGCAAGACTTCTATATAATTAAAGCCCCTATCTTGAGAAATTTTTGGAAGCCGTGCAAATCCCTGAATTGAACTGCAGCAGGAAGATGAGTTCATGAAAATGTATGCGAAATCTCAGATTAAAAAAAATGTTTTTCTCTCTAATTGAAATTCTCATTTTTTGAACAACAAATTGGATGAATAATACACGGGTACAAATATATTTTGTAGAATATTGGCATTTATAAATTTGTTTTGCCGATTGCAAATTATTCTTAATTGTTTTTCCACGGAATGACAGTATCTATCATTTTCAATCTGACACAAAGTCCTATTTTCATCGTTTCTTAAAACTAAACCATGTAGCCGAGGATTTAAACATTGATGACTTTATGAGCCATTTATTGACATTGATATTGTGCATTGAACCCTTCGAATCCTATCTCTAGCGTGGTGTAGAGAGCATCTTATTGATTGAGAGAAGCAAGGATGCCAGGGCTTCCCTGAGACAGCCCCCTAGGAACTGCAGAGAGGCTTTCACCATAGAAGGTGATCAGGTTTATGCTGGTGCTGAGCAGCGCTACTACTCGTCCATGCAGAAAAGCGCAAAGATTCTCCGGGGAGACACTGACAATGAGATCAGGTCAGACATTTGTCTATTTTACGTTTTAATAATTATTGTATTTGCTTATATAAATCAATATAAAACCTGTCATTTTGCCCCAAATATTGTCTTGTGGTCTGTAACATTGGGACAAAACATATTGGACTTGCTCAAACACAAGTATTCCAGACTGTATAACCAAACAAACCTGTTTAGCTTTCTAAGTTTTTCAGGGAATTTCATTAAAGTTAATACCTTAGGTGGATAGAGACAGAAAAAAGGTAAACTGCCTTCTTTAACAGCTTTACCACAAGGTAATGAAGCTCCCATTCTGATTGCAAGTATCATCGTAACTATGATTCCAGAGTGCCCACATTTTTACAGATTACCCTGTTGATACAGGTATGTGCACTTCTCCTTAATTTACAAAGCCGACATGACATGACAGAACATTTCTAACTGTGAAAAATAGGCAATGTAAGTGGCACAATATGTTTGTGTAATAGTGCCCTTGCAATGTTATTTTTACTAACATAAAGCACGTTATTTTCTCTTCTTATTCCAAAAATACAGTGAAACAAAGAGAGATATGAGTGAAAACCAGAAGGCACTGAATGAAATAAAGCAAAAGATTCAGGCTCTGAGGCAAGATGTAAATGAGAATGAGAATCTAAAGAAAACAGCACAGCGACAGAGGAAGAAGCTCGAGGATAAAATAGGCAGAATTAACAATGTGAGTAACGATGATGATGATGACGATGATAACGATGATGATGATGATGATGATGATGGCTTCTTGTTTAGTGCTGGTATCCACCTGCTTGGCGCTCGATTTTACCTCACATCAATGATCAACAACACTTTAATTGTCCTTCCAGCAAATCACTCAGCTGGAGGCAGAAGGCGAGGGAGAAGAAGAGACCAACGTGGCAGAATTGGAGGAGGAGGTCCGGCAGATGGAGGCCAAGATCAACGAACACAAGGAGAAGCTGGAGAGGTTCTCCAAGAACTTCAGGGCAGCTCGCAAACAGCTATCAGAAGTAGAGACTCAGTTCAAGGTGGTGGATGATCAGATCCAGGAGATCAGCTACCAAGTGGATCCTCTCAAGGTACAATGATTATGATGATGATGGTGATGATGGTGATGGGAGGAGATGATTGTGATGATAGTGGTAGAGACCATGGTGATAACTACCGGTATGTTGTTGGTAATGATAGAGGGATGATGATGGTGATAGCGATAAAGATTATGATGATGGTGATGATGATGATGATGATGATGGTGGTGGTAGTGGTGGTGGTGGTGGTGGTGGTGGTGGTGGTGGTGGTGGTGGTGGTGGTGGTGGTGTTGGTTAAGGTGTTGGTTGTGGTGATGATGATAATGATGGATGTTGTAGATGCTGATGTTAATGATAAGGAGGAGGAGAAAGATGATGATGGTGATGGAAGAGAACTATGAGAAATATTAAAAAGGAAAGTGATGGTGAATTGAAAAGGACTAATGATCAGGGAGAAAGTCTCGAAGCACATGGAGATAAGAAATATGACAAACAAGTAAAGATCTTGATTCATTAGATGGTAAAGGATGGAAACATGATTTGAGGAACACAGCTGTCATAAATTAATTATCAAGAGGATAAGTATCAAACAAATTTGCTTTTTATTTTCTTAGGATGATTTAGCTGGGGCTAGCATTGAAGTGCAGACAAGTAAGCAACATCGCAAGCATTATGAAGAAAAGAAGAAAGAACTGATGGCAAAGATTGCTAACCTCAAGAAAGAAGCTGATGCAGCACAGAAAGAAGTAGAGGTAAGGTGTCTTAATTTATATTAAACTGTTTTGAGGGAATCAATCGCTGGAAAGCTATTGAAAGGAGGATAAAGGGAGGCCTTTGGGTTCCTTAACACTGATTTTATGCACAACGGTTTGTAATATATTCAAGTTTCTATAGAAATGTATAATTGATGGTGATCTTTGTTGATATATTTAAAATGAGTGTAGCTTGGCATATCATGCCATCTACGTCTTCTTTTGGACAACTGCACGTAAACAAATGGACTTCATTAACGGTAGTCAGCGACTTAATCTCTACGTGGTCAGCATTTGCGAAACAGACTGAAGTTCTCCTCACGCTTTGGTTTCTCGTATGTTGCATGCACGTTATTGCTGAGGTCGCGTAGTCATATTATACCCGATTGGCCCCGAGTCAGACCACAGGAAAAACACATAGTCTTGTCAGGCTACTCTCCCTTTAAAATGTTTGTAGATCCTTTGATAATCTTATCTACAAGCATTTGTATTTTGATTTGTCATAGTTGGCTTTTTTCTTCAATTAAATTGGAAGCATCAAAATCATAACAAATGACTAAATCTTGCTGAAAATCACAAACAATAAAGAGAACCTAAGTGTAACACAGACATGAATATATGGGACTACACAAACATGTGGCATCCAACTTTGGTTGAAAATTTGGAAACTATGTCTAGTCATATTCTATAACTAATCATATTTTGAATGTGAGAGCACTGCAGGAGCTATCCTATACATGGGATATTGGTACTATAATATTCATCTCTCATGTGAATAGAAAGAGTGAGAAAGCTTTCAAAGAAACGGTCACCTTTAGCATAATGTAAACTTCTCTTAAATTCTTGTTTGATGTTCAGGATGCAATAACAAAAGCCATGGAGATCTATCCAGAAAGGCTGAAGGTGTCGAGAAAAGTGAGCAACATTGACAAAGAAATCAAGCAGATCACCAAGAGGATTGAGAAAGAGCAGAACATGTGAGTTATTAACAGGAACTTTCCATTTACCATGTTCTACTTCAAAAAGCATATATGTAATAGTAATAAATATCTTTTTCAATTTCCACTAGATTCTTAGTGGCAAATTCAGTCGTATGGCTGGATTTAAACAAGGATCAAACCCTTGTTACAGGTACTTGCTTGGAAGAATGCAGAAAAGTGAACAATGGATGAATGAGATGGGAGGGGGGGGGGGGGTGGTGATTGAGGTGATGGTTATAATAAATTGGATTTTCAAAGTGCATTTTTACTGAGGGTCTAAATTGCTGAGTATTGTTATGCGGCCATGGCCAAGCTTCAATTATTATGCACTCAAGTATACGTGTATCACTTGTTCTGGGCATAATTTGTTGGAAAAGTATAATTATGTCTCCCATGATACTAGTTTATAAGCATATGAAGAATGTGTTCCTATTTTCTGATCACTAGGCAAGGAGATCCTGAAGTTATCACCAAGCTATATGATGAAGCAAGGAAGAATTATCTAAAAGTCAAGAAGCAAATAAAAGGCATGAGGAGGTTTGTAGAGGTACGAGGAGACAATTTTGTTATTCACCCTTGGTCTTATTCACCCTATATATTGGTTCAGTCACTTGATCAATTGTTCCTATGGTCTAAAGGGGGGGTGGGGGGGGAATCTCCTAAAGTCATGAAAATTGTGAGAGAGAGGTGGAGTCCATCACAAACATGAAATACTATATATCATTCCATTGTATTTGTTTGCCGCTTGGATGCTGCAACCCATAGCAAAATTGTGCTTATCTGGTCATCAAAAAAGGGCAAAAATGGGTCATAAAAAGTCATGGAATGGAATTTGGTTCTAGAATTTCTCAAGATCAATACAAGTTTCTTATAAGGCCTAAAAAAAAATAAATGTTGTATTGCCCTTTGCGAGCGACCCAAAAATCTTGAAATCTATGGTCGGCTTTTAAAAAAAAAAAAAATTACAGATTTTTTGGAAAAAAATGTATTAAAGCATTCAAACTTAGAAATATCAACCCAATGAGGGAGTATAAAAAAAATCTGCATGCACGCTACCGTTAAAGCGCTTTGTACATGCGAGTGAGCCATTGCTTCGCTGCCTTGTGCATGCTTGCATGCATTCGTAATAGCAGTTATTGTCATGCTCATTGTAGTGTGCTTTGTGTTTCGCACGCCCTATTCATAGTACCATCGCATTAATCAGATTATATAAAAAAAAACTTGGCACGGGGGGATTTTTGGCTAGGCACAATGGGGATTAGCCCTGTGGCATGATAAGAGTTAATAATAACAACAACAACAACAAATTCAAAACCATGATGCACATATATATATATATATATATATATATATATACATATTTGTTTCTTTTTTCAGAAATTAAAAATGATCCTTGATTAGCAGTCTGTCCTTCCTAAGGCTATGTATTTCTTGATAGCCAAAATGAAAGTAATAATTCAAGACCATGATGCATATTTTTTATATTTTCCCTTTATATTTATTTCTTTTTCAGAAACTGCAAGTGATCCTTGATCAGCGGTTTGTGGTATTAAAGGACATACGTAGTTACATAGCACAGAGGACCAAGTACTACTTCATAGCCATGATGTCCACTCGTGGCTATGTGGGTCAGCTCATATTCGATCATAAGAAAGAGGAACTTATCCTCAAGGTAAGATGCTGCTATGTAGAAAGAGAAAAATGTGATAGTGCTGAAATGAGTGCCTTTATATAATACATGAAAGATTTAGTTTAGAAACATACTTCTAAATTTTAAATAGTCATCAAACAATCTGCAACCTATAGTTACTAGTTTCTAACAGTTGAAGTTATTTTTCCAATTTACCAGAACTTAATTCTTTTTAAAGATACAAATAAATGCTGGTAATGACATATTACAATAGAATAAACATTTCTTCCTTCCTTTTCAAAGTTGTCTTCTTACGGCATAGACACTAAAACGATCATATGCACAATAGTATTCTGTATTCTGTCCAGGTTTTCTATAAAAATTGAGCAAATCTGTTTTTATAATATAATACTTTGAGCTTTGCAACTGTTAATTTTTTTTCGTATTTTGATAATTAGCAAAACAATTTATGGTATACTATACACACAGCCACATATCCGTAACATTGGTAAGCTAGATAGCAATAAATTTGTGTGCTTTTTCGCTCTTTTTATGATAATTTGGAAGATTGTCGTAGTAAAAATGTCCCCTAAAATATAAAATTATTAAAAATATGATGATAAATAGCTTAGAAATGTGGAATGTGTGGGTTTAGTCCCATACATCCATTTCTGTGTGTGGTACATGTAGTTTCCAGCAGGACTGAGCCAGTTTGATTTGATTGATTTGTCAGGTGGATCCAGGAGAGAGCCAGAAAGCCAAGGATGTGTCTAAGGACGTGAGAAGCCTGTCTGGTGGAGAGAGATCATTCTCTACAGTGTGTCTTATCATGGCCCTCTGGGAGTCTGTGGAATCCCCCTTCAGGGCCATGGATGAATTTGATGTTTTCATGGTAAGTTTGAACCTAACCCTAACCTACTATAACCAACTACAGCTAAATATTGTTTATAGATGCCACTTTTGCTGCTTTCCTATTAAAACAAATTTTGTTTTGCTGAAGTTGTATGGAATGGTGCACCCATATGTAATGGCCAAGTTTGTTTGTCCTGTTTCTCTTTCTCTCCTTCCTTCCCTCCCTCCCTCCCTCCCTCTTTCTCTCCCCCTCTCTCTCACACCCCCTCTGTCTCCCTTTCTCCATCTTTCTCACCCACTCACATTTTCCACCTCTGCCCCCTCCCCTGTCTCTCTTTTCTTTTTCCTTTGTCTCTCCTCATATGATCTTACATATAGTTCATTTGACAATTTATTTATTTCTTCTCAGGACATGATGAATAGGAAGATCTGCATTGAGTTGTTGCTGAAGTTTGCCGAAGATCAACCAATCCGACAATTTATCTTTCTTACTCCCCAAGATATGAGGTAAGATGCCATGTTTGGGATCATTTCGACAGAAATCATCAATCAATTTACATGAGGGTTTAACAATGTTACATCTGTGATGCGTGGCCCTACATGTTATCAGTGTCTGTGATATGGTGATATTGAAGCCCTAAAAAAATGATCATGAAGTGCTTCAAAAATGTAAAAATCTTTGAGTGACCGGTTTTATCTTGATAATCAGACAGGCGATCGGCTTGTAAAAGTCATGGGGTTCCTGACTGACCTAAAGGTTTCTAATTATCACTGCAGCATGAGCTAAATCCAGGATTTTGTTTCGTAATCTGAGACAACGATACCCAATCCCTTTAATAGTATGTGTTCTTTGGTGCATTTTTTTTCACTTCATGGACACATTGAACCATTCTAAATAAATAATTTACTCCCTTTTAAAGGTAATACAAAGTTTTGGTATGGGGTCATGAATTTGGTTCAGATAAACATATTTGAAGCATATGCGATCCTACAATATTCAGCGATCGTTGTCGCGGTTAAAATTGAGTCTAGAGTGATGAAATTGTAAAGAATAAACTCTTTATGTTGTATAGCTCCCTCTCAAGGTCATTAAGATATTAATTTAGCTATGTCTAAATAAGAGGTTTGCTTTCTTTTGTCTTTCACAGTAAGATCACCCCAAAGCCGTCGGTACGAATAACCCGACTCCACGACCCTGAGCGGAACCAAGGGTACATCACAGCAGAACCCAATGCCACTCAAGATGAAACGATGGAGGAGGGAGAGTAGCAGAACCGTGATGGGACAGAAGGAATGCCACCCAGTGCCTTGTGGTCATCACTTGACATTAATTTACATCAATGGACACTTGTGGATGCATCCATATTAAACTTGCCAGCACTTGTACACTACAAAATGTATTAAAGAGATGAAGAATCTCCCCTTTGAGCAATAATCAAGCAGATTTTCAGTGTGGATCTGTGGCTTAATATTAGTGAGATCTGGGACCCGTTTCACAAAGCCTTTTTTCCATGACAAATGACAAAAATCAGTGACAAATCTGCTGACAACCAATCAGAAGCAAGGATTTCAGTAGCTTATAACAAAAATTGTCATTTGTCACTGATGACAAGTTCTGTGAAACGCCCCCTTGATTGGATAGCTTACCATGAGATGATAACTGAAGTGGACTTTGATGAGGCTGGTGCTTGTCGTGAGAGTCAAACCTGTTAGGTTAGAGATGAGCTCCATGAGCCAGGTCTAAGATTAAAGGTTGATAGTTGGAGGAAAGTCAGGGCTGTTGATCCGGAACTGCCAGGAAATCAGTTGGATGAATTTTCTGAAGAATCGGAAAGAAAACATCGTTATTTTGTGTAGCAGCCAGTAAAAGCAGTGATCATTTGTCCAAGCTTCAGTATAACATAATAAGTGAATGAGACCATAATATATTGTAAGTGATATAGGTGTCTGCTTCAAGTAAAACTCTTTATCTTTTAAAAAGGAGATATCGTGTAAAAATTAAAAAGAATATTGAATTTCTAAGTACCCATTATTAGAAACTTATAACCGGTTATGACCAATTACAACATAAAAAGGTAAAAATCACTGTGATGCAACTTGTCACACTTTTAACAGATAGATACATTGTAATGTATTTAACTCTGTAACTGATACAATAGTATTGTATTTAACTATGTGACTGATACAATAGTGATTTATTTAGCTATGTGACTGATACAATAGTGATGTATTTAACTCTGTAACTCATACAATAGTATTGTATTTAACTATTTGACTGATATAATAGTGATGTATTTAACTATGTGACTGATACAATAGTGATGTATTTAACTATGTGACTGATACAATAGTGATGTATTTAACTCTGTGACTGATACAATAGTGATGTATTTAGCAGGTGTACAAAATGGCCTATGTCCACAGTAAGTTATGTGAGAATTAGTACATCAACTGAAGCTCCCACCAGTATCATACTGATCATTAATTCTTTGATGAATAATGAATTTATTAAATAGGTCTGGTAGAGAGCCAAGTAAGGGGAAGTGTTTAAGCCTATCTATGTATATTTTCCATGTGACTCGTAATTGTTGTATTATGAATGCCATCTGATGCTGAAAGTGCAGTACGCTGTGAGACAAATAAAGAGTTTAATTCCAAAAGGAGCTAAATACATTGTAACTTCAGAGAAAAAAAGGAATTGTTCATCAGATTTTGTACAGGTATCTATGGAAAAGTGATATTAGAAGGTGCATTTTGTTCACAATTGCTCTGATATCTATACCTCAATTTTCATCAAAAATGGATTTAGCTCCTTTTGGAAGTAAGCTCTTAATATACGCCATTCAATGTGTAAATTGTGATATGGAGCTGTTTGAACCTTGTTTGATGAACTCTGGGTAAAGGTGACGATATGAAATTTTGCTGTAAAGATCTTTAAGTTCACATAAATGAAATCATAAGAGATTGGCTGACCTTATGAAGCAATTGTACCATTATTAATAATTGCATATTTGAATCATGAAGTCAGACTTGATTGATTATCTATCCCTTGGCCTAGTCTGATTAGACCGTTGGTTATTTTTTGACATGATGGTGTGCATGTTACAATTGTTACTCCAAATTTGAGCATACTCCAAACAATACAAGTGAATATTATACAACATACAATGCTTGACTTGTAAGAGTTTGGGGAAAAGAGAGCATATTACAATGCCCGACTATCTAACAGAAAAGGTTGCACCGCTCGACATGGTATAAAGACAGATACCATCTGACAGATAGAGATATATCTTGTCACTATTCAATGAAGCATAAGGAAATTTATCCCTTGTTTTTTTTCCATAGCTGATTCTATAGACCACATTTAGACTCTAGAATAGGATGTTATTGGATGTTGAGCACCGTAATTCTTAGTTCATTTACCTAGCTTGCCTTCAGTACTACAACGTATATACATTCATCTGTGCTATTACTTATGTATTTTGCGTTGTCTGTTAATATTGAGTTTTAGTTGTGTATTGAAACTGTTATCAAAATCTTACCTGCAAATGAAATGACATCAAATAGACAGGTAGCTAAAAGTGTGAAATGCAGTAGCAGTTCTAGTAGGGATATGAATTTCAGTAAGGCACGTGTAGAAAATGAATGCAAGAATTACCCTAAGCGCCCCCCCCCTCCCCTACCCATTTTTCCAGAACCAAGAGCGGAACATCCATAGACCTGTGCTGCTCTATTGAAAGCTAGCTATTGAACATATAATTAACAACTAAATTATTCATACCCCTTATCAAGTTTTTAAATATGTGAAAAACTGATTTGCCCGGATTTATGTTTCTTGAGAATATGACATATTAAAAACTACTCTAAAAGTATTCAACAAAAGCCCTAATTCAACCGGTCCACCTTTCATTCTCCACTTTCGCTGAAAAAACATCAAATTAACAAGGGTTATGAATAATTTAGTTTTTAACTATACATGTACTTGTACGTCTTTGTTTTTCTAGGTGTACAGTTTATGCCTTGGTTTATCAAAGTGCTTTGTCTCTTGTTGTCTGACCAGACACTACTCTTGCATTTTGTTAGTGATGTACGTAAGAAGTAGATATTCTTATTCCATCCATTAAATGCATTACATAAAGTAACATTGGTCACTTTAGTGTTAGTTATATGGTAATACTGAGGGCTTAATGTTGCAAAAACATGCAATAACTTCATATTCTGGTAAGTTAATTTTCCCCTGTATATACATGCATATATATTTAGTGTATTTATCACATAGAGCAGTTAATTTCAAACTGTATTAAAAGTTCTTTTTCAACTAGTTAACTGAGAATGGTGTTACATCTGTAGAGTATTGATGAAAAATGAAAAATGAACTTGATGAAAAATGAGAGAGAGAGAGAGAGATTGAGCGAGTGAATGAGAGAAAGAGAGTGAGTAATAAAGTGAGAGAGAGAGAGAGAGAGAGAGAGACTGAGAGGGAGCAAGGGGTGGAGCTCAATTGATTAACAATCATATTTGTTACTGAAATTCATGCAGAGGCGAGCATTTGGGCATAAATACTTAATTGCTACATGTTCCAACAAGGTTTCATTTTATATTACATTAAGGGATGAGCAAGATGGGGTTTAAATGTCTGACAGGCTTAGTACATAAAAAAGTCAAAGTCGCTGTTGAGATTGGGAGATGTTATTTACTGCAATATTAAACAAGGGGAGAAAGGAGGAGAGAGAGAACAAGAGAGAAATGGTTAACCCCACGGAGCACTAATTGGGGGCTGCAGGGAGAGGGAAACAGAAACAGGAATGGGAAAGAGCTAGGGGGTGGGGAGAGACCATAGAGCTATATATCACCTCTCTGATACTACTAGATACGGAGATCGACAGACTGACAGACAGGAAGAGAGACAGCTGGTAAGGGAGAGAGAGAGCTGAGAAGGGTATATTCCAAACTAACCCTGTAACACATTTTCAGTGAGGGGGAACCAACCAGCGAAGGGAGCTCTGAGCACCTAAATTGTTCCTTATAACTATATCAACACAATGAGCACCACGTGTTCTATGATACAAACAAAGTTTGAAAGGGCAATATATGCCTCCCGTTTATATATCAACATTAGCGTTATGATGCAGGGGCGGATCCAGCCGGCGGCAAGAGGGGGTGGGAACACAAAATATATATTTTTTTTTTGCCAGCTAGGGGTGCATGGGGGCGCGTTTTAGTTTTTTGTTTAAAAAAGATCAAATTAACATTACCAACTAATTTTTTTACAAGTTTTTTTTGCTAGGGGGGGGGGGGGGGGGCTTTAGTTTTTTGTTTAGGAGAAAATTAATGGTGAATTCAAATTGTCTAATTCGAAGTCTTTCTCTTCATGTCTGAGAACAGGCGCGTAGCCAGGGGGGGCGGTGGGGGCGGTCGCCCCCCAAAAAAAAAACGCCGGCCAAAAAAAAAAAAAAAGAGAAAAAAAAGAAGAAAGGAAGAGGACGTACGTAGGAAGAAAAAGGATTAAGAGTCGAGAACGGTACAACAAATCGTCTTCTTTCTCTAATAATTGAATGAAACGTCTAAGCTCCCGCGCTTCGCGCGGGAGGGGAGGGGGGGGGGGTAACTGAATTCAGATAAGGATTAAGAGTCGAGAACGGTACAACAAATCGTCTTCTTTCTCTAATAATTTATGAAACATCAAAGCTGGCCGCGGGAGGGGAGGGGGGGGGGGGACTGAATTCAGACAAGGATTAGGAGTCGATCGAGAATGGTACAACGCATCTTCTTCTTTCTTTAATAATCTAATAAAACTTCAGAGCTTCCGCGCTACAGCTTCCGCGGAGGAAGGGGAACTTGATACAAAAAAAGGATTAAGAGTCGAGAATGGTACAACGAATCGTCTTCTTTCTTTAATAATCTAATAAAACTTCAGAGCTTCCGCGCTACGCGCGGAGGCAGGGGAACTTGATTCAAACAAAGATTAAGAGTCGAGGACGGTACAGCGAATCGTCTTCTTTCCCTAATGAAACGTCAACAGAAACTGAATTTACTAGGATTAAGAGTCGAGAACGGTACAACGAATCGTCTTCTTTCTCTAATAATTGAATGTTATTTGGTTCACAAATGAAATTGGCTAAACTTGAAAAATCTATATGCATTCAACTCGAGCAACACCAAATCTCTCAGGTTTATATCTATAAATACTTAGGAGTCTGGCTAGATCCAACATTGAGCTGGAAAGAACACGTGACAAAAACAAGTAAAAAGATAGGGTCAAGGATAGCATTACTTGGTCGTTCAAAAAGATACCTACCTTTGGAGGGACTGAAGCTTCTTGCCAATGCATTAATTTTACCTTTATTTGAATATTGTTGTAATACATGGTCTAATTGTTCACAAAATGTCCGAGATGTAATCATTAAACAACACAAGAAAATGGCCAGAGTAATCTTGGGGGCCAATGTAAGAACCCCAACTCAAGAAAATTTAAATAAACTCAAGTGGGTAAGCATTCAAAGTAGGTGGAATTATTTCAAATGTAAAATGATTTATTCTGTTTTTCAAAATCAAACTCCCGTCTATATTTTACAAATGTTTCAAAAAACCCAATCTTTACATAATATTAGAACACGCAGTGCACAAAACGCAGGATTAATTTTACCCAAAATAAAAACCCAGATGGGGAAACAAAGTTTTTCACTTGATGGTGCGGCTTTCTTGAATACTTTACCTAATTTTTAAAAAAATGCACCATCAAATTCTTCATTTACTCTTTTGTTTTGGCGCTATAATAATTTAAATCATTGAACTGGTCCATTGTGTTGTGTTTGTTTCTTTTCTTTTGTTCGAAAATGTTGTAACTTAATTCACTTTGTTTCGATTTGGATTGTTTGTTTTTCAATTATGTTTGTTAATTTTGTATTTATGTTGTAGGGCCTCCACGGAAAACAGTATTGAACTACTGATGGAGCCACCCTACTAAAAAAAGACTAATAAATAAATAAAATAAATAAATAAACGTCTAAGCTCCCGCGCTTCGCGCGGGAGGGGAGGGAGGGGGGGGGGGGGGTAACTGAATTCAGATAAGGATTAAGAGTCGAGAACGGTACAACAAATCGTCTTCTTTCTCTAATAATTTATGAAACATCAAAGCTGGCCGCGGGAGGGGAGGGGGGGGGGGGACTGAATTCAGACAAGGATTAGGAGTCGATCGAGAATGGTACAACGCATCTTCTTCTTTCTTTAATAATCTAATAAAACTTCAGAGCTTCCGCGCTACAGCTTCCGCGGAGGAAGGGGAACTTGATACAAAAAAAGGATTAAGAGTCGAGAATATGGTACAACGAATCGTCTTCTTTCTTTAATAATCTAATAAAACTTCAGAGCTTCCGCGCTACGCGCGGAGGCAGGGGAACTTGATTCAAACAAAGATTAAGAGTCGAGGACGGTACAGCGAATCGTCTTCTTTCCCTAATGAAACGTCAACAGAAACTGAATTTACTAGGATTAAGAGTCGAGAACGGTACAACGAATCGTCTTCTTTCTCTAATAATTGAATGAAACGTCTAAGCTCCCGCGCTTCGCGCGGGAGGGGAGGGGGGGGGGGGGGGGGTAACTGAATTCAGATAAGGATTAAGAGTCGAGAACGGTACAACAAATCGTCTTCTTTCTCTAATAATTTATGAAACATCAAAGCTGGCCGCGGGAGGGGAGGGGGGGGGGGGACTGAATTCAGACAAGGATTAGGAGTCGATCGAGAATGGTACAACGCATCTTCTTCTTTCTTTAATAATCTAATAAAACTTCAGAGCTTCCGCGCTACAGCTTCCGCGGAGGAAGGGGAACTTGATACAAAAAAAGGATTAAGAGTCGAGAATGGTACAACGAATCGTCTTCTTTCTTTAATAATCTAATAAAACTTCAGAGCTTCCGCGCTACGCGCGGAGGCAGGGGAACTTGATTCAAACAAAGATTAAGAGTCGAGGACGGTACAGCGAATCGTCTTCTTTCCCTAATGAAACGTCAACAGAAACTGAATTTACTAGGATTAAGAGTCGAGAACGGTACAACGAATCGTCTTCTTTCTCTAATAATTGAATGAAACGTCTAAGCTCCCGCGCTTCGCGCGGGAGGGGAGGGGGGGGGGGGGTAACTGAATTCAGATAAGGATTAAGAGTCGAGAACGGTACAACAAATCGTCTTCTTTCTCTAATAATTTATGAAACATCAAAGCTGGCCGCGGGAGGGGAGGGGGGGGGACTGAATTCAGACAAGGATTAGGAGTCGATCGAGAATGGTACAACGCATCTTCTTCTTTCTTTAATAATCTAATAAAACTTCAGAGCTTCCGCGCTACAGCTTCCGCGGAGGAAGGGGAACTTGATACAAAAAAAGGATTAAGAGTCGAGAATGGTACAACGAATCGTCTTCTTTCTTTAATAATCTAATAAAACTTCAGAGCTTCCGCGCTACGCGCGGAGGCAGGGGAACTTGATTCAAACAAAGATTAAGAGTCGAGGACGGTAGGCCTACAGCGAATCGTCTTCTTTCCCTAATGAAACGTCAACAGAAACTGAATTTACTAGGATTAAGAGTCGAGAACGGTCCAACGAATCGTCTTCTTTCTCTTATAATTTGATGAAACCTCAAAGCTTTCGCGCTTCGCGCGGGAGGGGGAAAACTCCCCCCTCCCTGCACCCTCCCCCCTCTGTAAGTGATTCGCACGCTTCGCGTGCTCACTACCGCCCCCCCCCCCTAAAATGAAATCCTGGCTACGCGGTTGTACGTACTCTGAGAAGAAGTTTGATATAGGAACTGCGCTCTTTATCAAAGTCAAACAAGTTAACCTTAGACAATTAATGCATCAAAATGTGCATTCTTTAATATGTCAGCTGGATTTATAGACCCCGTTCGCCGTTCCCCCTGCAACTGGAAAAATACGTACTGTGATTTTATCATAGAGATATATAACTACTAACATAGAGATATATACTTAAGAAGGCTATCTCTATGGATTTTATCGACTGCGTTCACTGATGATGAATGTTACATAACTTATATTTCAGAGTCTACTCATCTCGGTTCAAGCAGTACGTATTTCAATCTTAAATCCTTTGTTTTTAAATTGTGTTTTTACTATTTGTGTGATTTAATTGTTATGAAAATGTCGTTCCTATGTATTGATGTGAATTCATTGTATTAATGTTGTAGTTTGTTAATTGCTTGGCGTAATTGTGTTTGATAAATCATGATGATGAAGATGTGAAGTGAAGAGTGCGACACAGCACACGTGAATTTGCTCTTGCTTGTCGTAGCTAAGCGCTAGTGCTCCGGGTACCGGAACAGGCTCAGTTCTCGGCCCCGGCTCCGCTCTCCTCTGCCTGGAGTTGGAGCTGCAACTGTGCATGGGCTTTGCTGCCACTTGCTTTAGTACCGTATACAGTGCTTCCCAGAAGAAGAAAAAATGAAACCGAGAATTATCGATGTTTTATCATAACTTGATCACAATTGTAATTAATAAATGACACATATTTGTAAAGCATAGATCCTCCTCTTTCAATTTATGCAACTCGTATGATTCATATTTCATGCATTAGTGATTAAAAACAATTTGAGGAAAGGGCGCCAAAAAGTCATTTTGCGACCTGTTTTTGATTTTCAAAGAGAAACTAATATTTTTAACAATTTCATTTTCTGCCCTTTTCACATGACACCTTAATCACTAATCAGGAAAAATGAGCCAGGATCAATAACAAAGTTCTGTTAATTTTTGTTTAAGTATTAGACTACTAAATGCTAGCATTTCTATAATTTTATTAAACAAATTTATTTTCACTGGCTGCCTGCCGTAGCAACAAACAGCAAACTCCATTACGTTAACGATCAGCCATGCATTAAGTCTTTTGTCTTCTTTGTTGTGTTTAAAATTACAAGAATTAAGGCCTCAACTTTTTTTGCACTTCATTCTTTTGCCTTCTCTCTCTCTCTCTCTCTCTCTCCCTCTCTCTCTGTCTCTGTCTCTCTCGATCTCTCGATCTCTATCTGGGCTTTGGTTTTCAGCAATTCACTTTACATAGTGGCTGGAGTCTAGGCCCTGTAGTCAGAGGCTAGCTGTTTCACTGCAGTCATGCCCAAGCACAAACCAAGCTCCAGCAGTCAGAGTGGGGAGCCCAATTCCAAGAAGGTCTGCACCAAGTCCAGCCGAAGTGACGATAATGATGAAAGCGAGGAAGAGGAATTAACCAACCAGTCTCAAAGGCCAGACTTCACTGCTCCATTGAAAGAGGTATGTAGAGGTGCTGTGGTCTAGGGGATAAGTCTTTGGGCTGTGAACCATAAGGTATGGCCATGGGGTTCAAATCTTTATTGGTGGTGAAATGAGGACTCAAGTTCCTAGCTAGTACCCTGTCTTTTTTCTTGTACAAAAACCATCTTCTTTTAATTCTTTTACTCTTATCCTTCCAGAGAGAAGCAGAATGTGGAATCATTGAGAAAATATCAGTAAAGAACTTTATGTGCCATGGACGACTTGACTGCAACTTTGGTCCGAATGTCAACTTTGTTGTTGGGCGCAATGGAAGTAAGTGTTATTCTTTTACTTTGTTTTAACTTGGTAATGCATAGGTAAGATGTGGTTTTTCATGTTAATCAAAGATTTTTTATTAGTCAAATGTGGTTTTTGAATGTTAGTCTTGCAGAAATGGCCAAATCTGATGAATTAGTGCTTACAAACTCCTTTGAAGTAAGAATTGTGAGATTGAAATATTGATAAGGTTCTAAACTTATTAATCAACACTGAAAATTGATGTCACAACTCAATTTTATTTGCAATTTCTATTTCTGTCTCAGCTTGAACAAAAAATGTGTAGATACATCATGCATACCACTGCAAGTTGTAATGCTCTAGTTTTAAAAATTGTCTCAAACCTATCTCCTGTGTGACTTTGTCCTTGATTTCTTCACAGGTGGAAAGAGTGCCATTCTGACAGCTATTGTAGTGGGCCTAGGTGGAAAAGCCATCGCAACAAGCCGTTGTAACTCGGTTAAAAACTTCATCAAGGCTGGAAAAAAGTAAGAACCCACTTTTGTACAAAATGTTCCAGCTGCATATTAAAGAAAATGACAAAGCAACACATTGAAATCTATACTTTTTTGTGAAGAGTGACAGAATGATGTTCTACTCCTATCATTTACACAGAGCAAATTAAAAGTTTTTCTTTTAATAGTGCTTGTGTCTAACACTATTATGGACAATAAAACTTGAATCTTGAACATACAACAAAAAATTGCTTAAATGTATGAGACTTTTTAACTTCCGTGAAAGATTACAAACAAATTATGATTTTTTTGATTTTTTTTTTGAGGGATGCTGAGGTATGCATCAAGTTACGTAATCGAGGAACCAATGCCTACAAGCCAGACATGTATGGACCGTCCATTACAGTGAAGAGAAGAATACTCAGAGAGGGCGGTAACAGCTACAGAATAATGTCAGATAAGGGTGAAGTTATCAGCACCAATGAGGATGAGCTGTCCCACATCATGGATCATTTCAACATTCAGGTAACAGGGAATTTTGAATTACATGACGACATAGTGGACTGCTACGTGTCATGTCCTTTTAAGGCACTGTGATGTCCTTTTAAGGCACTGTGATGTCCTTTTAAGGCACTGTGATGTCCTTTTAAGGCACTGTGTTGTCCTTTTAAGGCACTGTGAAGTCCTTTTAAGGCACTGTCATGTCCTTTTAAGGCACTGTGTTGTCCTTTTAAGGCACTGCCATTGCCTTAAAAGGACGTCACACGTAGCAGTCCACTATGTTGACGTGCAAATCTAAAAGTCCCTAATAATAATTGATGGGAGAGGTCAGATGGAGAAGGTCACATAATGATGTCATCTTGCATTTCCCGTCAAATCTGCATGAAGAAAAAAAAACTTAGGTAGAGAAATTATTTACCAAAAATCAAGGAAATAAAAGTTGTGGTATTGGGGTAGATTAGCAAAATGGTGGTTAATACATGAAAGTTGCGTCTGGAACGCAATAGGTGTCAATTGTAGTTGATATTGGTGAATTAAAAGTTGTGATTTGACAATACAGTTGTAATGTGGATCAAATGTTATATACATGTACCGTTCAGTGTAATCATAACTATAATGTCGTAAAATTATAATTTTCTGAAATTACAGGTACCAGTATGCATTTTGGGTTCCTTATGCTTCTTTTTAGTTTATTACTTTTATGAAATGTGGAATTGTTATTACTTTTCTTTACTCACCCATGTTTTTTTGCTGTTTTACTAAATGACAAGTAATTGGTTCACAAGCATTTTGAGTTTTTTTGTGATACACTCAAAATTTGCAAACATTAGTACTTATATTTTGAATATCAAAATGACGGGAAGAACTTATTGTCATGATTGTTCATTGTACACAATTTAGCTTTTTTTCCCCCTACAAAATTTATGACCATGCAATCTTTCTGATTGACCTTTGACATCTGTTTTTTGTTTGTCCCTCAGTTTGATTGACCTTTGACATCTGTTTTTTGTTTGTCCCTCAATTTGATTGACCTTTGACATGTGAATTCTTGTTTGTCTCTCAGGTTGATTGACCTTTGACATTCGTTCTTGTTTGTTCCTCAAGTGGATTGACTTTTGACATCTTTTTTTTTCTTTTTCCCTCAGGTTGATTGACCTGTGACATCTGTTTTTTGTTTGTCCCTCAGGTTGATTGACCTTTGACATCTTTTTTTTTTCTTTTTCCCTCTGGTTGATTGACCTGTGACATCTGTTTTTTTGTTTGTCGCTCAGGTTGATTGACCTTTGACATCTGTTTTTTTGTTTGTCCCTCAGGTTAATTGACCTTTGACATTTGTTTTTTTGTTTGTCCCTCAGGTTAATTGACCTTTGACATTTGTTTTTTTGTTTGTCCCTCAGGTTAATTGAACTTTGACATTTGTTCTTGTTTGTCCCTCAGATTGATAACCCTGTATCTATCATGAACCAGGAGACCAGCAAGAATTTTCTCCTCAAGCAAAATGCCAAGGACAATTATGAGGTTTGGCTAGATACTCTTCCAACTATTCTATTTCTTGCATGTTGCTATTCAACTCTTTCGAAATATGAAGGGTAATACATTCGTTGCCAACCTGTAAGTCTCCGTGTCACAAATATCTGTTTAGATTTCCTAGATTTCTTGATAAGATAATTTCCAAGTTTGTTTTAGGGCATATTCCGACCTCAATAGTCAATCAAAGTACATGTTTTTTTCAATCCGTTTTTGTCTAAGGAGCAGTTTAATGTTTCATCCTGATAGTAATTGATTTCCACCCCACTCCTTCCCAGCACCCTTTTTGTTCATCTGATATTAAATGTAACACAAGAAGAAGAAGAAGAAGATTTTTTTTTTTTATGCCTCAGCATCATCATCGATATGCGGGAGTGAGGTAGTCCTATAGATCTCCCAATCGTCTTCCAAGATATAAGTTCAATTGTCAGTTTGCGACTTAAACCGTAGTGTAGAATGCGTGGATGTCGGGTTACATAAAATGTTACGTGCAGTGACTAGAGATTCTGGCAGTTTATTCCATAGCTGGATAACACGTTTACTAAAGAAACAGCCTCTGACATTAAGCTTGCGGGGAGTATTAAACAGTTTAAATGGATGTCCATGAGTGAATTTGTACTCTGGTCTCTTGAAAAAATGTTCTGGACCGAGTCTATCAATACCATGAAGTATTTTATAAACTGGATGAAGGCCATTACCTCCATTGACAGTATGTACAGCTCTTACAGTCTTTTTTGCGGGCTGCCGACAAATTACATTGATATGAATTTATGGAAATACTTCCTCCGCTGTAGTTTTTCCTGAAGGCAACTCGATTGGATCAAGTCTCCATTGACTATCGTGAAATCATGAAGAGTATGGGATTGACAGAAGAGAAGGTCGATGCACAGAGTGAGGTAAGTTTTTCATTTAACTGTTTTGTTTAAAAGACTTCTATCCCTTGCAATTTGTTACCAAGACCCAACACAAAGTAATTTTCACACAATATTTGGGATGTGTATCTTGTTATGACTTGTGTTTGGGTTTTGTTTCTTTGTCGACCATTTAAAAAAAATATAGTTGTAATGTATTCACAGGATGATGTTAAATATGACCTTAAAACTGAAAGTTTGAAAAATTCTTATCCTAACCTTTATTTCTTCACCTCATCAACAGAAACTTCCTGCCCTGGGAAATGAGGTATTGGAGATAGAACAGAAGTTCAAGGCCTGTCTTCATGATTTGACTAACAACAGACAGAAACTTCTCAACCAATCGGCTTGGGCACAAGTTGCAGAGTTGGAAAGGGTAAGAGGTCACTCATGCTTTTTTCCCTTCAAATTCATATTTCTGTTTGCCGAGTCCAGTATGCCTTCATATTTCAAGTACAATAGATTAGTCTGTGTCCTGTACCAACAAAATGAGTTTGTGGTTGATTGCTAGGTTGCAGTTCACCACTATGTGCAAACGGTTCTAGGTCACCTACCCCCTGGATATTCACCCCCCGAATAACCACCCCTAGTCAACTACCCCCAAGGACAACTACCCCCTAAGGCAACCACCCTCTAGGACGACTACCCCTCGGACAACTACCCCCCAGTAAACTACCCCTTAGTAAACTATCCCCTAAGACAACTACTCCCCGGACAACTACCACCTGGACAACTATCCACCAGACAACTACCCCCTACCACAACCACCCTCTAGGACAACTAACCCCTGGACAACTACCACCTGGACAACTATCCTCCAGACAACTACCCCCTACGACAACCATACTCTAGGACAACTACCCCCCGGACAACTATCATAGGGGTAGTTGTTCGGTCCGATCAGTTGTTACGCGTTGTGATACTAGCCCAATACATTTGGTATATGTTTAGATAAACCAGCGCCACCTATCATAAATTTTGAATGAATTTACTTTCTATTTTCTTAGGATGATTTAGCTGGGGCTAGCATTGAAGTGCAGACAGCTAAGCAACATCGCAAGCATTATGAAGAAAAGAAGAAAGAACTGACGGCAAAGATTGCCAACCTCAAGAAAGAAGCAGATGCTGCACAGAAAGAAGTAGAGGTAAGGTTTCCCTCATATGTAGGAAGATATTTAGAGTGAATCAATCGCTGGAATGCTTTTAAAATGAGGATAAAAGGAGTCCTTTGGGTTTTTTTATGCACTGTGGTTTGTATTTTCTTCAAGAGCTCAATGGTATTTGTAAATGGTACTTATCTGGTCATCAAAAAAGGGCCAAATTGGATCATGGAAAGTCATAGAATGGAATTTGACCTTGACATTTGATCACTTGACCTTTGCCATGTGTTCTTGTTTGCCCCTCAGGTTGATAACCCTGCGTGGTAATTTTCCATTGCAGACGTGTTCCAACCGTCTGTCTGGTTTGTAATATATTCTATTGTGACGTAAAATTGTTATTGTTACGTACAACACGTATACTAACATGTTATTGTTTATGCGTATTTCAAATAATTGTTGTGCCTCCGTTACGAAGTAGCCGGAGGCATTATGTTTTTGGGTTGTCCGTCCGTCCGTACATACGTACGGACTTCCCGTTCTGCCAAACTTAGGTCATGTATGTATCTTGCAGAGCTAATGAATTGATTGGATTTTGGGGTCACAAGATCAAAGGTCATAGTGCTCATTATGTATGCAAAAATTTTGATCGCGTTATCTCAAGAACTGTTTGATAGATTCCTGCGAAACTTAGGTCATGTATGTTTCTTGCATAGCCAATGAATTGATTAGTCAAAGTTCCGTCTAGTTCAACAAATCATGCTGCAGTGGTGATTGTGACTTTGCTCTGATTTACTAAGTAGAGATTGATGGGATTTTCATTGTCGATACACACAGGTTGTACCTGTGTTTTGTTCATCGTGCCCGTCCACAGGCAGGGGACTTGCTCACCAGCCGTCTTGCATTTTGCGAGATTAAATCTTCGACTCTTTTTACATTGTTTTGTGGAGAACCTTGTTTACCGCCTTCACCAGCATATTCTAGCATCTGTCTCTTCAATTGGCGTCATCCATTGTGTTGTGTTGACACGTTGATTATCGACATCGTCATCACTAGACCTCATAATCATTGTATTCATGGTCATGCACCTCATCGCTGTATTCGTCTATTGACTGTATCATCAACGACATCGCAATATTCATCTATTGACTGTCTCATCACCATCATAATTGAGACCATGGCCAACCACATCGTCGCCGTCATCGTCTTCATAATTGTCGTTTTCGTCATCATCATTGCCTTTTGGGGTCATGAGGTCAAAGATCAATGGTCATGGGCTCATGTATCCAAAAATAGCTTGTGATCGCATTATTATTAGAACCGATGGATAGATTACCATCAAACTCAAGACATGTATGTTTCTTGCCGAGCAAATGAACTGATTAGATTTTAGGGTCATGAGGTCAATGATCAAAGGGTCATACATGTATGTGAACAAAATTTGAAAACCTGTTAATGTATTACAATCAAAACTACATTTTAAAAATTTACTTCTGTTTTGGTTTGTAAAATCGCTCTACGGCAGAGGCATCTAGTTTTATTTCCCTTTATATTTATTTCTTTTTCAGACACTGGACACGATTCTTGAGCAGAAGAATACATCACTAAAGAACATACGTAGTTGCATAGCGCAGAGGACCAAGTACTACTTCATAGCCCTGATGTCTACTCGGGGCTATTCGGGTCAGCTCATATTCAATCATTCAAAAGAGGAACTTATTCTCAAGGTAAGATGGCACTATGTAGAAAGAGTAAAATATGATAGTGCTGAAACGAGTGTCTTGATATAGAGAGACCATGCATAATGCCTTAAAGATTGATTTTATTTTCTCCATTGAAAAATTTACCTTTGTGGGAGTGGAATTAGGCCACACTCCTAGACGTTGGGCTTTGGGCTCGTCAATTAGGCAAAAGGGGTGTTGAGAAATGGTACCAAAAAAATATGGGATGGAGTCAGAATAAGTCAAGTATTGTAACTTGTGATTTTTTTTTTTTTGTGTATTGACAAAAAATTGTTATTTTCACCAAAATTGCAGTTTTCTTTTTCTGCTAGTCTTTTATTCTATCTCCGAGTTAAAAAATGGATGGGTTGGATGTCGACACAATCTAACCGCAATATGCTGGTATCCCGATAGCTGTCATCAGTCTCACGAATGCTCGCGAACATGCCTTTGCTGCTGGGCAGAATTTGGGGCAACAATAAATTCTATGAATACTCATGTAGGCTCATCCTGTTTTGACTGAAACAACCAATAAAGGGTCTTCTAAAATTCATAACTCGGGGTAGGATTTTTTACACAACAAAGTTAAGAGTTCTCTGATTGGCTAATATTTTTCTGCAGAGTCTGACAAACTCTAAGGTCAACAGACGTTCTAGTTTATCGCTTGTCAATTGTTGTGATGAGTTAAAGATACAGATGAATTCTGGTAATGAAAATGACAATAGAATAAAAATGTATTTATTCTTTCTTGTGTTGTAACGACGGCATTGAAATGATGATGTGCACAATAATATTTTGCATTCTGTGAGTGTAGTCCCATACACCCATTTCTGTGTTCAGTACATGTAGTTTTCAGCAAGACTGAGCCAGTTTGTTTTTATTCATTTTGATCAGACTTTTTCTTTCGCAATGTAATTGCGTGACCAGAACTCAAGTTTATCTTTAAATTGATTTGTCAGGTGAATCTAGGAGAGAGCCAGAAAGCCAATGATATGTCCAAGGATCTGAGAAGCCTGTCTGGTGGAGAGATGTCATTCTCCACAGTGTGCCTTATCATGGCCCTCTGGGAGTCTGCAGAATGCCCCCTTATGGCCATAGATGAATTTGATGTTTCCATGGTAAGTTTGAACGTATCCCTAACCTTCTATAACCAACTACAGCTAATATTGTTCATAGTGGCCACTTTTGCTTCCTCCCTATTAACTAAATATTGTTTTGCTGAAGTTGTATGGAATGGTCACCCACATGTAATGGCCCAGTTTGTTTGATCTGTCCCCAAGATAGGTGGGTTCTACTGAAGTTAAATGGAATGGTCACCTACCGGGTATATGTAATGGCCAAGCTTGTTTGATCTGTCCCCAAGATAAGTGGTTCTACTGAAGTTGTATGGAATGGTCACCCACATGTAATGGCCCAGTTTGTTTGATCTGTCCCAAAGATAAGTGGTTCTACTGAAGTTGTATGGAATGGTCACCTATATGTAATTGCCAAGCTTGTTTGATCTGTCCCCAAGATAGGTGGGTTCTACTGAAGTTGTATGGAATGGTCACCCACATGTAATGGCCCAGTTTGTTTGATCTGTCCCCAAGATAGGTGGGTTCTACTGAAGTTGTATGGAATGGTCACCCACATGTAATGGCCCAGTTTGTTTGATCTGTCCCCAAGATAGGTGGGTTCTACTGAAGTTGTATGGAATGGTCACCCACATGTAATGGCCCAGTTTGTTTGATCTGTCCCCAAGATAGGTGGGTTCTACTGAAGTTGTATGGAATGGTCACCCACATGTAATGGCCCAGTTTGTTTGATCTGTCCCCAAGATAGGTGGGTTCTAATGAAGTTGAATGGAATGGTCACCTACCGGGTATATGTAATGGCCAAGCTTGTTTGATCTGTCCCCAAGATAAGTGGTTCTACTGAAGTTGTATGGAATGGTCACCTATATGTAATTGCCAAGCTTGTTCATTCTCCCAAGGATAAGTGGGTTCTACAGAAGTTGTATGGAATGGTCACCTATATGTAATGGCAAAGTTTGTTTGTCCTTTCTCTCTGTCTCTCCTTCCCTCCCTCCCTCCATCGATCCCTCCCTCCCTCTCTCCCTACTCCATCCCTCCCTCCCTCCCTCTCTCTCACACTCTTTCTCTTCTCTCTCTCTCCCTCTCTCTCCCTCTCTCCCTCTCTCTCCACTTCTCTATCGCTTTCTCAAACACTCACATTTTCCACCCCCCCTTCCTGTCTCTCTTTCTCCCTTCCTCTGTCTCTCATATAATCTTACAAATAGTTCATTTGACAATTTTGTTTTTCCTTCTCAGGACATGATGAATAGAAAGACCTGCATCGAGTTGTTGCTAGGGTTTGCCGAAGATCAACCAATCCGTCAATTTATCTTTCTTACTCCACAAGATATGAGGTAAGATACCATGTTCAGGATTATTTCGTCAAAAATCATTGATCAATTTACATGAGGGTGTAATTAAATCCCTTCTTAATAGTATGTGTTCATGGGTGCATTCGGTGCATATTTTCTCTTCAAGGACATTTTCACTGAGTTATAGCATTCCACCATTTCTTGGTAAATAATTAATTAACTCCCTTTTAAAGCCCCACTGCACTAGTTTTGCCAGGAGGGATTAGACCTATGGGCACTGACAGGTCGTTATCTCATCAAATCAGCTCTCAATTAAGATAAGAGAAAGAGGATCATGGGGGACCAATGGGCACTGACAGGTCGTTATCTCATCAAATCAGCTCTCAATTAACATAAGAGAAAGAGGATCATGGGGGACCAATGGTCACCGATTCTAAAGGCATTGTTTGCTATATAGAGGGCTCAAGTAGCTATAAGTAGTGCAGTGGGGCTTTAATAGTTGTTTACTATGCTGTTAAAAACTGAATTCCACCAAAGGTATAATGTATGTGGTGCTTCATTTTATCGTGCATCTAGATTATATGTTAATCCATAGATAATATTTTATTTAGTAATCATCAGAAACATAGTTTGTTAGCCTTGGCTTAAAAGAGAAGATTTCTTTCTTTTTATGTTAGTGTGGAAGAGGATCAAAGAAGAAATGTCAGCTGTAAAGGATGGCTAGTCGAATCCCCTAATTTTTGACATATTACACGAAACAGCTAAAGTTAAAAGGTTTTGGACCACAACGTTCATGCCACATATTTTTAATTAGTGCTACATGATTTATAATCCGATTGCTTCCATGGTTTCTTTCCCATTGCAATCGCATGACCAAACATGACCAAACACTTAAAACAGAACTGAACTTTATATTTTGCTTACTTTTGTCTTTCACAGCACGATCACCCCAAGGCCGTCTGTACGCATAATTCAACTTCCCGACCCCGAGCGGAACTAAGGTTACATCACATCAAAGCAGAACCCAATGCCACTCAAGATGAAACAATGGAAGAGGGAGAGTAGCAGAATCAGTTTGATAAGCTGGAGGAACTTCGGGACTATTAATCTAGTACCTCCCCAAAATCATCATAATCGGATAAATTTTCTAAAGAATAGGAAAGAAAGCATTGTTATCATCTGTAGAAGTCAGTAAAAACAGTGATCATTTGTTCAAGCTTTGGTATAACATAACAACTGAATGTGAGCAGAATAGATTGCATGTACGTGATATAGGTTTCTGCTTCAAGTAAAACTCTTAATCTTTTAAGAAGGAGATATCACGTAAAAAGGAAAAAATAACTGTGATGCAGCTTGTGATACTTTTACCTGATACATTGTGATGGTGTTGTGGTCTAGTGGATGAGTCACCGGACTGCAGGTCATAACTCAAGGGATTCAAATCCCAGTCCGACATTAATATCCTTTGGCAAGACATTAATCTACATTTGCCACTCTCCACTTGCCTTCTGTACTACATTGTATATACATTCATCTATGCAATTAGTTATTTACTTTTTGAGTAGTCTGTTAGTAATTGTTGATTTCAAGTTGTGTATTTAATCAATTATCAAAATCTTAGCTGCAAATAAAATGATGTCAATTATGGTGAAGAGCTAGCTGTAGCAGTTCTAGAGAGGGAACTGGGGCAGCAGGGGTCAACCCCCCTCCAAATAAACAAAAAAGGAGGAACAAATCTGGATTATACATGAATTTAAGCAAGCAAGACATGTGTAGTAAGTGAATGCAAGAACCATAAGCGCCCCCTCCCCCTCCCCCTCCCCTCCCCTCCCCCTCCCCCTCCCCCTCCCCCTCCCATTATTTTCCAGAACATCTGTAAACTTGTGCTACTCTATTGAAAGCTAACTATTGAACATACCGGTTCATCTACGTCTTTTTTGTTCTAGGTGTACACTTTATGCCTTGGTTGATCCAAGTGCTTTGTCTTTTCTTTTCTGACCAGACACTGCTTTTTATTTCCTTGGTGATGTACATTAGAAGTCCGTATTTTATTCCATCATTTAGATACATAAAATAAAGTAATGTTGGTAATATGGCTACACACTTAGTAATGAATGTGGCAAAAACTTGCAATATGTTCATATTCTAGTAAGATGATTTATCCTGTATATATGTATATATTTAGTGTATTAAAAGTTCTTTTTCAACTAGTTAACTGAGAATAGTGTTACATCTGTAAAGTATTGAACTTGATAAGAGAGAGAGCGAGAAAAAGAGAGAGATATTGAAGGGAAGGGTTGGATTTCAATTGATAAACAATCACATTTTATGTGTTGGAAGAGATTCTCATACTGAAATAAATGCAGAGGCGTGCATTTGGGCAAAGATACTTTGCTAGTGTACCAAAAAGGTTCACTTTTCCATTTTATTTTTAGGGATGAGCAAGATGGGGATTAAATGTCTGATAATCTTGGTGCATAGACAAGTCAAAGTTACTATAATATAAACGAGGGGAGAAAGAAGGAAGGAGAGGGACAGAGAGAGAACAAGTGAGCAAGGATTAGTCCAACGGAGCACTTGAGTGTTGATATTGTATTATTTTCTCTGAAGCCATAAACAACTTTCAGATAATGGCACAAAAGGTGCCAATAGAGATATCAAATAAGGGCATGGCTGGCTATGCTTCACCCCTCCCCTCCCCTGCCACCTACTCCCACCAGGGGATATGGGTTTAATTTGGCATCTGTAATTACAGATTACCAAGGTCGAGACAAATTTTGGTTTGTAGAAATAAGAAATCAAAGGAAGAAGCTTGTATGGCTTTTTTTAGCATTGGTATGACGAGTTCTTGTAAAATACAACGGGGTGAACTTCTGCCCTCGTTTTTTTTTTTTACCCAAAGAGATGAAACGTGCAAGTCTATTCACCAAAACTTGCCGGGTCTCTGCTAAATACCAATTATATTATTTCTTTCTTTAGCATATTTCTTGTGATTCATTGATAAGATTTTCCGCTGGACAAAACGAAACCCTTTCGGAATGATGTTGAAACTATTTCATTCTTCTCTCACAAAACTTCCCCCAAAAGACTCAGTGACAAAAATGCTCGTTTTCTATTTAGTCGGAATATGCTAAATCGACCATACATCGATATTCGTTATTCACGTTTTATCAATAAAAATATTTCTAGAAGTATAGCCCTAGGGTCTAAGCACCACGCACGAATGATGGACTATAGAGTCGCTTGGTCTAAGCACAAACAAAGGGCATGATACGGCTGTCTGACTCGGCTAGGTCACGGGTAATGCTAGGATGAACAAGGGGTCGAACATCGAACAAACCCTTGGACGCTCACGATCTCACAGATATCAAACCGTCTGCTGAGAGCCAGAAGGGCATTACCACCTTTCATTTTTAACAGAATTAACGCCTTTTTGCAAGCTTTGAAAAGACGAAACGCTCTTAGGAGTGTATAAACACAGCGTGGTGAAAAGCAGACACAATGAATTAACTTTCAACTTTTGCTTTTTAGTGGAAGTTAGTTTTTGAGAGCCTCTTTATGAGTTTGCTCGGGGAGGTGTAGATTAAAAAAAGCGTGTCCTTGATGTGAACTTGTTTATAAACCGAGCAGCTCTTTTTTTTGAGGTAGAACACAATTGCGTTTTTATCTGGAGTTTATACTTGTCGATTACACAGGAGCCTTCCGCCATGGCAAGCCTTTGGAGGAAATGCCCATTTTTCAAAAGGTATGTATGTAAGAAATATTGTTCTTCCGTTTTTTTTTCTATTGTGACGTTTATTTTTCTCCAGGTATTTAAAATGCATATAGTATAGGCCTTTTAGTATGTTGGTGTGATAGTTCTCCATTTTTGCGTTCTCGCACTTTTCTACACGGATATTAGGTAGATATGAACATAGATAGATATGTGGATAGATAACTAGATCGATAGATAATATAGGTATATTTATATAATATGGATATATGTGGATGGCCTGTAAATTGATAGATAGCCTCCAAGTCGGGATTAGAAGACAGATAGATAGGCAGATATGCGTGAAACTCGGAGTAGCAACCATGTTCATTAGTTATCAATATATATATATATATATATATATATATATATATATATATAACTATGGATTGCACATACGGAAGACACGTGATAAAAATCAATATTTTGGAGACAGTAGCAAAATGGTACCATAAAGTTAAAACAAGCATACAAACTTTCGTTTTTATTTCGCAGAAAAGATCTTCAAACCAGAGTCTTTCAATTACTTAATTACTTTTTTCCCTCAAAGACACACTTTTTCGGTAAAAGATATTTGATTTGATTTGATTTGATAAGGTTTTATTCGAATATTCAACAATACAGCTGGAGGCTGATACAAGTGAATTTACAAGGTAAAAATAATTCCATAGACATAAACAATATAATTATATGCTTAAACACTTTTAAATGAATCCAGATATAAACAGTACATAGTAAATAAATCATAGATAATGAAAACAATAATAATATTGAGTTCGGTTTGCATACTTGGATATGAAATAAATAGAAATTCAAAGGGTGTAAGATCAGGTATACAGTTTGAGAGTCGGAGCAGGACATTTTGATAATGTATTAAGAGAAAAATTATTATTGATCATTAAAAAATTGAAATTAAATGATTAAACTGTAACATTTACATGAAGTATATATACAAAATAATTCGATAAAATACAATTATTAAATATTGTTATGTATGATCTTCATGAATACGTGATGTAAAACCCGGCTTGAAAACATAAAATTACATTTATTAAATTAAATTTATTGAAATAACATTAATAATTATTGCATTGATCAACTTGCATTTATCAAAGTTGAATTTAAAAAGTCAGATAATATACATTATTCTTTTGAGTTGCATAGTTTGGCAATGAAAATATCTTTTATAATAATTTATCGGATAAAAATTGCATTTAACTAAATTATATCTCTAAAAATTACATTTCTTTTCACAAAATCAAATTCTTAAAAAATGCATTTTATCAAAGTTCTATTTATTAAAATCATATTTATCACAACTATATTCATAAAACTAGATACAAATTCAGATAGAGGTTCAGGATTAAATAGCTAGACCTATATGAGGAGGTCGGGATTCTTATTTAGTAAACGAACAATTGATGGGATACTAGAATTGTAATATCTTGTGGTCCTGCATTTTGGTTCATGGAGAAGATGTGAGTTCCGTAACTGCCTTCCAGACAGTGATCGTCGGGACTTTGGAAGAAAGTCACGATGGCGAGCTGACGTGAGAAGGTCACGTGCAAAAGAGAGGAGAAGACCTTCTCGTCGTGAGTGGAGAGAATCAAGACGGAGGTGATCCAAAGCACCGCGGTAGGAGTCATACCCACCAAGGATGACTCGACAGACCCTTTTCTGCACACGTTCAATGTCATTGGATTGAGCAGTGGTCAGTGACGAGGACCAGACAGGTGATGCGTATTCAAGTACAGGTCTGATGTACATAGCATAAATAGCAACCAAATCAGAGGTCGGAAGTCTACATTTTCTGAGGCGATATACAATGTAGAGACGTCTGCTAGCCTTCGAAACCATCGCTGAAACATTGGTGTCCCACTTTAAGTCGGCTTGAAGATGGACACCAAGTAGAGTGAGGTGGTCGACCACGGATAAGCTGGTATCAGCGACTTGGAGCTTAGGAAACTGCACTTGCTTTACGAACGAGATATTCATGACGCAACATTTAGTAGGGTTGGGCTTCATGTCATTCGACTCACACCACTGGACAAGACTATCAAGTTGAAGTTGGACAGTAGATGGTTCATTCGCTCGGCGGATTTCTACTACACTGAGGTCATCCACATATTTCCATCTGTGGTTGAATTCACTCAGCGCATCATTAATCATGACAAGAAAAATCACGGGACCTAATTTTGTGCCCTGGGGGACTCCGCATGTAACTCCCAGATCACAGGATATGCTCGAACCAACTCTAACTGCCTGTTTGCGCTCATTCAAAAAACTACAAATCGCTGGAATCAGTGCAGGTTGTACTCCGTAGTTGATTAACTTTCCAATTACAACATTGTGATTCACGTTATCAAACGCCTTTGCGAAGTCGATCGCGCACAAAGATGCACAGTTGCCAGGTCTGTCTAGATTCTTTCCGATCGTGTCAAGAAGGCTGATGAGGTAATGTGACGTGGAGCTTCCAGCAACATTACCAAACTGCTTCAGGTCAATAACAGGTGAGAGGTCGTGAGTAACCCATCTACAGATGAAGGTTTCCATCACGCGTGAGAATATTGCAGTGATGGAGATGGGCCGTAAGTCTGATAGTTGTGAAACTTGCTGTTTTTTCGGAATAGGAGTGATAACTGCTCGTTTCCAACTCGAAGGGTAGTTCCCAGTGTGAAGAATGGCATTGAATATCACCGAGAGGGGGTCCGAGAGTTCCATTGCAAACTCCTTGATAAGTTTGATTGGAATATCGCCCGGTGCCGCTGCCTTGGATGCATTCAGCCGACGTAAGACGTTATACACTTGATGGGCATGAATAATCGGTGGTGGTAAGGGTGGAAGATAAGATGGTAGAGATGTCCAGTCCAGTGATGGGAGCTGGTTACAGATGTTAGCGAAGTGTTCATTAACCCTGGCAGCTTTCTGCGAGTCGTTATGCCCAAGGCAGGGTGGAAGGGTTAGCGAAGACTTGGTAACTCCAGCCATGCTACGAATTTGCCGATGCCATTGGGAAGGTTCACTTTGTTTCAACATTTGAACCTTCCGAGGGTAGAAAGATGCCTTGCTTTTTGCTATCTC